TGTCCTTTTTCTGTAGTGATCTGACAAGGACAAACTTACCCAATTGGAAGACGTTGCTTCCACAAACATCATCGTCAGGCAACGCGGGACATTCTCCATTCGAAAAGGATGGCGACTCCTGAAAATTGTGAATAAATTTGGCGCAAGCGTCGTCAACAACCCCCTGGCATGAGCCATCCGGCGAGGCTGTCGAGTTTCGTTGTCCCAAGTGGTACACACACATTTGCGTTGTGTTGGTCTTGGCACTGCGGACATAGTCGTCAGGTAGACTGACATAGCCGGTGACAGTCTGCACACCCGGGTAGGCGGCGTTTTTGTCACGCCTGTCCTTTAGACCGACTGACAGATACCATGGCTTGCCATTGTTGTGAGTGAAGCTCTCTGTGACGAAGGAGACTGTGCCAGTTGCGTTGAATGGTGGGCCAAAGTGACTTGTCCCATCGCAGCCACGAATGGCTGGCGCATCAGTGGCAGCGGCGACGAAATGACACCATGCGGCGCCAAAAAAGAGCCAATCGCGCACCCAAGTCATGGTTACCAGTGACCAGTGACAAGAGACAGACAGCGTTTGGGGAAAGTGTAATTTGGGGAAAGCTGGGGGAGAATAAGAGGAAGCTTCTTAAAAACGTATGCACACGCCGTGGTCAGCGCAGCAAAGGTACAAGTTCGGAGCGGATACCTGCATATTTGAACTTGAAAGAATTTCACAAAAGTCCCCAGAGTCTCCCCGCGATCTTGCTGTCGCATGAAACTAGCGATTTTGGCGTAAGCAATTATCTAGATCAGGCGCAACCTGGCCGCTCCGCTACAGTTGGGCCTATAATCAGCCCCCTCGCTTGTGCCGAGTTCCGGACCCAATCTCCTGGAGACCAACTCTGGACCACTACGGATATAACGGGAGGGAATTGATAATGGACAAGGCTGAAGGCGCTCATGTAGCTGACCAATAGCAATGCTGTACTTGTGAGTTTATCGCGAGCACGCTCAACGTCATGTTAGGCTGGCTACTATATTCGATTTGCCTTGAATTCCCTAGTTTGCTCGCCTCTCCGATTTCGTCAGTAGCACCACCAAAAAACATTCGGGTCGCTGACAGGCGCGGCTTTAGCGGCTGTAAATAGCCGCTGAACACTTGAGGAACCGCCCTCAAGCCAGTCAATTGATACAAGCACCGCACAAAGGTCCCTGTGGGAAATTGAGCTTGTTGGGCGCTTGCTACGTCAATATCATGACTGATCTAGAGCCCCAAGACAATCATTTTGACTCGTAACACAATTCTGCACCGGTGCCTCTAGCAGTAGCCGCCAGCAATACTTTTTTGATTAGCTGGAGGTGCTGCAGTCCACCTTTTGTAAACTTACCTCTCTAGTTAAAACAAATCTTTATTCTACTTTTATACGGCAAGATGCCAACTAGCCAGTTCGGTGATTAGTCTCTGGCTTGGCAATAGCTCCTACCGATGTTTGAAGCCCGCGAGACTTTGATATTCAAGCTATTGAACCCGACGAAAATTGTCATGCTGTTCAGAGACTCACTTCATTATTTCATCTCTTCCCTGTTATCCGCGTTTTCATCACAGCGCGCTCAGGATACAACACGCGGCTGCTGTCTAGACGTGTGCACTGGTGGAGTGGGCACGCCACTCACGATCACATCACGCCACCGCCTCTAGACTCTCTCGCATCTCTCAGCGAAAACGCCTCAACCAAACTTTTTCTCTATAATTCGTACAGCCATAGAAACTTGCGAACCAGTCTCTCCATAACTGTACACTTTTCTCGCTGCCCCCCAAAACGAAGTGTCGCTCCGTCGCTACCAACTCTCGGCACACCCAACAGCAGCACACAGATGCCCATTCTTCAACCCACGACAACCCCCGGCGCCGCGGTGCGCACCTTTCCGGTCCTTTTGAAATGGGGCCTCACCACACGGCCAGGCGTCCACGCGTATCCAATTGGCGGTTCCTCGCATGCGAGGCGGCGGCCGCGCCGCGCCGCTACGTTCCTCAGCGACGAGGAGAAGCGCGCGTGCGTCCGGGATAATGCCGCGACGCTGTACCACGACCTCGGCGTCGTCGCGTTTGACGGGTGCTCGTACCAGCAGGCGCGGAGGGTGGGCGATATCCTGGCCAAGACGGTCGCGTTGAGGGCGCGGAGGCGCGCGGCGGGGGTGGACGTGCCGGAGGAGCGCGCCCTAGAGGCGTTTGAGGTGTTTCCGGCGCTGTGGAAGCTGGAGGAGGAGACTTGGGGACATCGACTGGATGGTTGATGCTGGGGGGGCAGGGGCAAAACGCAGCAGTGAAGAGGTATCCTCGAGTGCGAGGAGGGAGACGGGGTCTTGTGCAGTATTCTACAGCATTTGCACACACCATTCACGGAAGCAAATCAAACACGATTCATTTTCACGTCGTCTCGGATACTAGTATCGGCCACTTCCACCTCCACGCAGAAAGCATGCACATGAATACTGCCAGGTTCTGCCAGCGATGCGTACTCGCCATCGTCAATGAGCAAAACGAGACATGGCGATATTTGAAGATTTTTTTTTCGCAAGGCTAGCTAGCCGCCGCGAGGTTGGAAAGTCCAGCCGTGGCTTGCGCTGTTTACATCCAACTAGCCCTGTCAAGACCTGGCTCGGTCTCTGTCCAACCGGACCTCTTGCCTACAACTTGCGCATTTTCCCCCTCTACTTCACACCATCTGCCGCGGGAGGAGAAAGAAAGGCTTGGGACTGCGAACGTCCCGGCGCTATTCCGCGCCGAGGCGTGCAAGCTCTTCTGGGGCGCTGTGCAACATGGCCAGCCTTGTCTGGCCTCGAGAAGGAAATACGTGGACCAATGCTTCAAGCGCGTCCCGCTCGTAGGCGTCATTCCCGCGTGCTATTGCTATTCTCGTGCAAACGGGAGGGCGGGTGTCAAGGCGCACGGTTGGAGCATGTTTGGTGAGAGGGGTCGCGCTACTTTTAAATACTGTGAGGCAGAGTAAGCCGAAAATTGTAGCAAGGCAACAATTCAACCGTCCATTTGACAGCAACGGCCTCAAGATTTTCGAAGAATTTAATGCATAGACTAGTTTGCAAGGGAAAAAAAGAACGGCTTGAGGCGGGCGGACCTCAAAGTACTTTCTGATTTACACAAGTAAATAGAGGGGAGGGGTTTTAAGTTGAGGGGTACATGTGTCGTCAGAGTGAGCTGTTTTTTATTTTTATTTTTATTTTTTATTTTTTTTTAGTTTACCTCTTCTGGGTCTTTGAGAAACCTCTCAGCGGCCGGCACGAGTTATAATCTTTCTGCTCCATGTATCTGCTACCGGCTATATTCTGATAGGTTCTTGCACTGGTTAGGATCAAGCGAGAGCGGCTCGAAAAGGCGGTGGAAGGGTCTGCTCATGCAAGTGCGTTGGAACAACACATACTGGGTAGTGTGGCGACGGGCTCCGTTTCATCTGCAGATCTCGGCGGGGCTTGGTCATGATGGGCGTTCAAATTATCGAAGCTTTTCTTATTAGTTTCGACCAGACGACTGTCCCAAGTGGCCTCCCGATGGCGCGTTTGCATCGAGCTGTCTGACTGTCAATTGCAAGAAGAAGAAGAACGGAAATCACAACAAGAACAAACACCCCAGCATGCCGTGTCGCTTCTCCAGTGGTTTGCTGCGGGCATGTTTGCGCTAGAGACGCATGTTTCTGGTGAGCGCGGGGTTCAAATGACCCTGAAAGAAGAAAAGGGAAAAAGAAAGCTGCAGGTGGTTGTAGTTTATTAGGTAACTTGAGGGCATTGGCAAACGTTAATTGGTGGCGAGCTGATGATTGTCTTGTGTCGTGGTGGTTGCCGTGCTGCAGCTCCCCGCCTTGGTTAGACAATGTTTCTCCACTTGCAGCATTGAGACAAAATATGAGATAAATATGAGAGACTAAGACTGTTGAGCAGCAAATCTCGATTGACGTTTTCGAGTTCCAAAGTGAGGCGTCGGGGTGTCGGGGTGTCGGGGCGCCTGAGGGAGATTCAGAGTTAGGCACCAGTCAAGCACTCAAACTGGCTGTTGTTATATGATGAGATGACATCTGTATAATAACGTAACGTATAGGCAGCCATACAAGAGCTTGTTTCGGGCTCAAGGCAGCCGTGTTTCTTCCAAGGAAAATAGTCGGAGCCGTGACGAAAGCGAAGACGCAACACGCGGCAGCTTGAATCGTGCGCTTTGTCGGCTAGGGAGGTTTCCGCCAGCCAAGGCGGGAAAAAAAAAATAGACAGGACGCCACTATTACGGAGTACACGAGCGACAAACTACATGTTCCATGGAGAATTTTTTGGTGGGCAGGCTTCAATGCAAAACACGCGGCAAGCCCACAGAGGTGCTGGGTGGCTATTTAGGACTTGTCAAGTTGTCGCGTGGTGGCCGCGGCAAGTGCTTGGCAATGCATCTAGGGCATCGTCGATGATGCAGTGCGAAAGCCGGGATGAGGAAATGAAGTTTATTAAGCATAGTTAGCTACCGGCGGGTTTTGAGGCTTGTCAACGGCTTTGAGCAGGTTGGCAGAGTATAGTGGTGCCTGATATAGCAGAATCCGGCGGTAATAGAGGATTGACAGCCCCGCCACTATTTTTACCAGGCGGCAAGAATTCATCATCTCGATGAAGCGGTGCGTCAACGGAGTACGGAGTACGAAGTAGCGCAATTTAAATTAACGCAATTTTATACAAGCAAACAAGTAGACGGGGATACGCGGCGACAAACCTCAAAAAGTCCGTCTTTATCTCGGAGCTGCCATTGTTACTGATGGCAATCGAGGAATGCCAATCGGGGCCGGGGATTGATGGTAAAATGCGAGGCATGTACCTAGGCATGCTGATCATGTCGGTATTATGTATAGTCAACTAATATATTAAACGTTTGGATGATAGTGCGAATTGCAGCCCCCCTCCCCGCTTTCAAAAGGCAAAAATTCTCTTTCTTCCTGGGCGGTGCGACATTCTACCAATAGATTGCCACGCTGTGCTGGAGCCCGTCCCCGCGGAAGCAAGAATCGCGTTCTCGTGGGCGAAAAGGAGGCAAGGCAATTAAAAAAAAAAAGCCGGCAAGAGAGGGAAGGAGAATAAAAGGGTCGTCGGGGACAATCAATACGCGCTGTTATTTGGTAGTACCTAGAAACCTACCGAAGAACAAGTGTCCACGTCGTTGGCGCCAACAAGCCACAGATTGCTTGGCCCGTCTGGGCCCTGGCAAGGCCCTGTAAGCAAGTTTTGCTTTGCTTTTTACTGGCATCCTTTTGCCCTCGGTACATGTCGGCAGCGATCTGGGCAAGTCTTGTTTTTTTTTTTCCAGATCCAGGGCCCGCTGTGAGAAGCCGAAGCCCCGTCCCTCGGCGAGCTGGGGGGGCCCTGTATGGATGTAGGGAAGCAAGCGACAAAATTAAGCGATGGCATGGTTTCAAAATGTAGGGAAAATCAACAAAGAGAGGAAAGTAAGGAAAACAGTTTTGAAGATTCATAAGCAGAGTGGCGTCTTAATTATCAACACCCGCTTATGTACGGAATAGTTGATGGCTTAGATGGTAAAAACGCCCTTTTTGCGGCACTCGCCCTGCAAAAGATTGATTAAATTTCACAAGGTCAACTCAGTGGTTTGCCCCTGTCTCTCCCTAGGTAGTTAGATAGTTAGCGGTAAATAGAGGTATTTAGACATGGTTCGAGAGACTGGAATTGTGCCGTCATTCCATTTCCGTATGAAAAAATTCAATGCAAAATAATAAATCAGTGCTTGAAATACAGACCGGCATCTAGCTTGAATCTTGCAATTTGATTTACATCCTAACTAGATTCGTACGGCTGTGCTTGTACAGACTTTTACCGGCTTCCACTGGTGGCGCTGGCCCTCTTCCAAACCCACCGCAAAAGCCCGTTCAAGCCGAAAATCTCACAACATCTTTCCTCTCCACATTGCCAGGACCTTTTCTTTTTTTCCTTCCTTCTTCACCACCACCACAACCACCATCACAAACCGTCGCCTGTCCAGCGATCAACTCCCTCGCTAGGATTTCAAGGAATTCCTCTGGTGGCGACCTTCAATCGAAACCGTTGCGCTACCCGCCAACTGCTCCATCGACCCAATAACGGCCTCCCCAAGCGCGCCGCATCGTCACCCATCTATCGCTACCGCAATCGAGCCACCACCAGCTACCAACGCATGCCGACCCGACTTTGATCCGATATCGCCCTTGCTTGCCCAGCCTTGGCCGCGCAACGCAGGCACAACATCTCTCAACCCCCTCAGTCTCTTTCTCCCCCATCGTCCACCTACCTGTCCTCCCTGCTGTTTGGTCCAGGCCTTCTTCCAAGGTCTCGGGACCTCGCAGAGACTGGGAGCCCCAGCGCTTCGCATGCCTCGTGCATCAGGCCCTGGCAAGCGACAATCCGGCGGCGGTCATCGCGACACCAAACATGACAATGGCGTTTTAGCCTCCGCTAAACGCGGCTCCGGCAGAAAGAGCCAGTCCGCCGCTAGTGCGCCACCTACTGCGAAGGCGCACGACAACTCTGCTGCTCTGCCAACCACTTCGCTCCTGCTTCACAACGGTCACGCCAACGGCGCTGCTTCTGCATCCCTCGATGGAACTGTTGAGTCGGCCCTCGATGCCTCCGTCGACGCCCTCGTCGCCGACGACAAGCCCTCCGCTCACCCCGCGAGGCCTCCCTCGCTAGGTGACGAATCCGAGTCGTCGTCCGATCTCTTCCACAACGCCGCCACCCACGTTTCTAACGCTCATCCTAACCCTTCTCTCGTTGAAGGCTCCCTCCGACAGATCGATGTGAATTGTCTGAAGAATCACGAGGTTCATCGCGACTCTGGCATCCTCGACATGGCATCCACCGTTCTCCGGGCTATGCCCATGCAAGACACTCTTGCAATCCTCATCTTACTCATGCACGTCCCGACCATTTCCCTCCTTGTCATTTACGGCGTCTTTGCCTGCATCACCTTTGTCCCTCCAGTCAGGACAAACTCGGGCATGAACCTCAACCTCGCCGAAATCTTTGACGGAAACTCCACCACCCCGTCGCTCTTCACTGTCGCCTGTATGGACTTTTTCTTCTTGCTCATATGGCTCTTTCTCTGGGCTCCCATCCAGGACGCAGTCCTCGACCTTGCCAAGCCCGTCATTGCCATTACCCTTGGCGGCGCCACTCGTAATGATCCCTCCTTTCGAGGTATCCGCACCGGCTTTACCTGGGTCTTCATGTATCACATAATACGCGGAACCCAGTCTCAATGGGGCCATCTTGTTCCCAACATGCCCGATGCTTGGAAAAAGGTTCTCTCCGAAGAAACTCCAATAGGTTACTATAGCAAGCTCTACGACAAATCGAGCCCCTACGCCTGGGTCCGAAGTGTCTTGGCCATACACATATTGACCCAAAGCATTATCCGATACATACGAGAATGGTTAATGCGCCGTGAAAAGGGCGACTCCAATCCATCCAATCTGAATGATCTCGAATCCGCGAAACAGCACTCCAGCCATCTTGCACCGCCAGACGCCACAAATGACGCCGCCGCCCACGCAAACGAAACGGACGCTGCAATATCTACGCCTACCCTGCCGCCGCTGCCACCCACGCCGCAGCTGTCCACCGCCAAAAAGAGAAGAAAACAGAGCGCCCAGGTGCGCCTTAAGCAGCCACTCTGGGCTGCCCTTGCCAGCACTAAGATTGTCGTCGTCAAGGAATATGAGCTTTCACACGCGCCATCCGAGTCGGCTGGCGCTAATGCGACTGACATTCACAACCTGGGCAATGCTCCTTTTGACCGCCAACCCAGGCAGATTTGGATTTCCTATATCGGTAGCGACGAAGTTTGCTTTAACACAAGCTATTTTGCTCATGCTGAATTTGATCCGCTTACCTCCTCGGAGCCGACATCAGACGCGACCACACGCCCAGCCGGAATCGACACCACCAAGCCGTTCTATGTCAAGGTGAACAACGCCTATTGGCAGCCCACGCGCATGCACTCTGTCAAGGAACCCGACGACGAGCCGAGCGAGGCGTCACGCTGGACCGGAGACATTTACGGTCTGCGCCCGGCATCCAAGTACGTTTGTGAGTTTATCGACAGCCGCACCGACAAGGTCATTTTTACCGCCAACATTCGCACCGTTAAGGAAGCGCTGCGATCCAAGGACGGCTCCTCGCCCATGGTTTCTGACGGGCCGCAGTCGCTGCGCCCTGACTCGCCCGAAACAACCCTCAAAACATCCATTGACGCCGCGAAGGAAAAGCTTGCCCAGGAAAAGACTCGCCTGAATAAATTTCGCAAGGATTGCAAGATTCGCATCAACGCACTCAAAAAGGAAAATGAAGCCACGGACAACCAGCTAGCCACGGCCGGAAACAGTGACGAGAAGCATCGCCAAAAAATCCGCCAGCAGGAAACTCAGCGCACTCAGGCAGAGCGTGATACCGAGCAGGTTGCGGATAAGGTCAAGCGCTACGATTCGTCTCCGGAACTCGCGGAAAATAAGAAGAAGGTTGAGCGCACCTTTTCGACTGAAAAGAAGACGTTTGATGCTGCGCAAAAGGCGTTTCTCAAGCACCGGTCCGAGCTGGAAAGTGAAGTCAAGGCGAAGGAGGTGGAGCGATCGAACCTCAACACGCGCCGAAACAAGATTGCCACTCGCATTGCCAAGGTGGACAATGAGCTCGTCAACCTCACCGACGCCAACAGCCGAGGACTCAACGAGGCTGAGCGCCGTAGGAAGGAGCGCAATACCCGCCTAGAGAACATTGCCGCTATTCAGCAAAACTACGAGGAGCGCATTGAAAAGGTTCACACCGAGAACAATGCCCGCGTTGAACAGGTCCTCAATCTGCAAGTGCAGCTTGAAACTCTTCAACCGACGATGCATGCTGGTAATGGCGTGATGATGAATGGCCTCGACACTGGCATGACACCGTTACCGCCGCCGCAGTCGGTCCCATGGAACCCGAATGCTGGGCAAGTTGGCTTCACTGGTGGCCTTTGGCCCGGCACGTCGGCCGACATGCAGCCCTCTCTGTCTGGTCCTGCGCTCGCTCCGACCACGATGGTGTGGCAGGGTCCGTTGACGATGACAGCCAACGAGAATGTCGCGGCGAGAATGCGCAGCTCTAGTATGCTAAGCGACGTCAGCGGTTTCACCGGCTCCAGCGACGGCAGTCCCCGGACGTCTCCATTCTTTCAGTACCAGCCGTCGATGGGAAAAGCTGCCCGCGGTCACCGCCTCATGGGTGCCAACCGGAGCAATGGAAGCAGCGGCAGTGGCGGAGATGGCAGTCCGGTCTGACCTGTGCGGCCATGCCCACGGGCCAAGGCAGGATGTAGGGTCTTCAGCGTTGTATAATTGGAATAACAGTGGTTAGGCGTAGTCTTAACGAGATGTTTCCTTGATCATCATGCGTGCTTGTGAATTAATCATGAAATTGTACACGTAAAACAAAAGTGGTATAAAGCAGGGGATCCGAATATTTCAAAGAGCGCAGTTGGGCAGCATATTCTCATTGTAATTGTTCGTACTCCATACCGTGTCATGAGATGCGGTGCTCCACCAAAGTACCAGCGTCGTCACCAAAAGCTAGGGCCAGCTGGCAGACATGCACCTGTCCAACGCCATCCCCTTTGTCTTCTCATCTTCTCAAGTCGTGCAATTCAACACGTTGGCGGCGGACGATCTGGGGATTGGCAAAGCAAGTAGGCTTTTTATCTTTTTTTCTTCTTTTCCCGTTCTGTCCCTCCCTTGAACTTGTGCAAAACCCCCCAAAAAAATCGACCGACGTCAAACGCCTCGAAAACGGGGACCCCAATCCGACACATAGGTGCGACATCTCAAGCGAACACGGGCCATAAGAAGAGGGAGCTTGCCTCGCGGCTATATTGACCGCCCTCGAGAGATGACGTGACGGTCGTCATGGACTTTGTAAGTTTTGGTTCTTTTTGGTCTGTTGTTTTATTCTAGTCGATTTGCGGAAACGGGATCAAGCCATGGTAAGTTGGGCCGAAAAAAAAAAGTACGAACGGATCGACCGATATTCCCCCGCACGCGACAGGATGGCAGATGTCGAGAATTATGCGACACATTTGCGACGGTGGTGGTGGTGGTTTCTAGGCTGAACTTGGAGAGCAAGAGAGATTTACAAACATGGAGAGCTTGACGAGCTTTGCTAACACGATGCCATCTTGGGATAGTGGTCGCGACTGTTAAGCCCCTTGTCGGCTGGGTCGTCTCGGCAGGACCAGGCCAAAGACCCTGCGAAACGACTCCATCGCTTCGAAAAGGAATACGGAACTCTGCTGGTAAGTCTCTCCGCCTGCGCGGCGCAGTCATGCCTCGCTGCGAAGCTCTGGCATTACCTTCTGTGAAAGCGCGACCAAACTGCATGCTGACGCTCTCTCCCCCTCCAGGCCACATGGCGCACCTCGTCCAACCTCGCCCGCGACGGCGACGCCGCCGAGACGCTCGAGATTCGCCTGCAGGAGCTCACCAACATTCTGAGCGACGAGTCCCGCCGGCCACTGCCGCACCCGTGCATTCAGTACGCCTCGATCAAGCAGATTTACGTACCGATTGGCAAGATTGCGACGACATCGTATAATGAGTGGATCATCAAAGAGGCCGTCCTCTTCTTCGCCACGCTCATTGAGAGCGAGGAGGAGGCCTTTGTCGAGAACCCGGCCTTTTCCGCGAGCCTGACCAATCTGCTCGTGCGCATCACCGGCGTCAACAGCGTGCGTCTCGGGCTCGACACGGAGTCGCGCGTCGTCGAGCTCGCCTTTAACATTACGACCAAGATCCGGCTCGACCCGGATATACTGCCCGCGTGGTTCAAGGCCGGCCAGGCGGCGGCGCAGTTTGCCAGCGAGCGCGGGCAGGATGTGCAGGACCGCTTCGCGGGAGGCTTCGCGGGGCGCTCGCAGCGCGCAGACTTTCCGCTGTTTTATATACTGATGGACTATATTCACCACGAGGGCAAGGTGGGCGACTTTGCGCGGACGGGTCTGCTGTACATAATTGAGGCGGCGTCCAACTCGGCGGCGCTGGAGCAGTGGATTGTTGAGAGCGACTTGTCGACGCTCATGGCCACGGGCCTGGGCGCGCTCTACAGCCAGCTGAGCCGCAAGCTTGTCATTGATCACCTGCCGCACGACTTGCCTCCGATCCTTGCGCTTTCCGACTATGAGCACCCGACCTCCAACTATGAGATTGTGAGCTCGTGCGCGCCCGAGTTCCAGTCGCACCTCGAAACGTTTCTGTCGCATCTTTTGTTCTGGCAGGATGTGCTGAACCACTGTAGGTCGGTCGAGGTCAAGTCTACGCTCCTCGAGCACTTTCAAGTCATTTTCTTGCAACAACTATTGTACGTGTGCCCGTCAGATGCCTTTCGGGTGTACACTTGCTAACCGGACAGATACCCCTCGCTTCTTGAATCTTCTGATATCGACGGCGGCTCGTCAGTCGCTGTGCTGACATATCTGCGCCGCATCCTCGAGTCGCTTGATCACCCCGACATGATTAACCTCATTCTACATTATCTGTTGGCGCTTCCCGATGGTAACTCATCGTCTAAAACTGCGCCACCGCGGCCCAACATTAGCGCCGCGCGACGCCGCAAGTCGATGGATCTGGCCACCATGATGGCTTCAAAAACTGACCTGACAGTCACGCCGATTCTCTTCAACCTTGTCGATCTCATCCTCGCGTGCCTGCGTTCACGCAACCAACAGACCATTCACGTTACGCTGCAGCTGGTATCGGCGATTCTTAAGAGGCATCACCGCTATGCCATCATTACCCTCCTCAAGACGGAGGTGCTGCCCAGTCGGACGGTGAACCGCACTGTTGGTGCGCACGAACAGGAAATTGAGTACCTCATGGACCTGGCCAGCTCTATTGGCGGCTACGGCGACTTTGACGACACGTACGAGAACATCTTGCGGGACACCATGGTGCGGCTCGAGAGCCACCCGTGCTCTTTGAAGCTGGTCGCGCCCAAGGTCTCGACCAATAACCACAGGCTACCAGCCATACCGGACAGTCTACCCGGCGCTCCCCGCGATGTCCGCGAGCACACGGTGCGCATGGATGACCCTCTACTCAATTCCATCTTGGATCTTATGGACACCTTCTTTATGAATCCCGTCGAGACGAATCTTTCCGTCACCGAGACGATTGTTGACCTAGCCGTCTGCGGATACATGAGTATTGAGGGCTGGCTGGCACGTAGTCCCTCGACATACGACTATGGCGACGACGACGACGATGACATGAACACGACTGCTGGCTTTACATCCACGACAGCAAGCGAAGCCGGCGCCCAGCTCGAATTCTCTGCAAAGCCTGATGTGCGCGAAGCTTCAACCTCTACTGAATCGTCAGAGGAGGCCAAGCTCTCCGAGGCCATGCAGCGATGCCGACAGCGGCCCATATGGAACAGCGAGTCGCTACCACGCATCCTCAACATGCTCAAGCGACTGTGCGATCAGGTCAACAACTACAAGACCAGCATCCCGCGCTTCAACGAGCTGCTTCAGCAGCGCCGCGACGCGTTTCACACGGCAGACTCGATCCTCGACAACCCAGCACCGCCCCCTCCGCCGCCGCCGCACTCTTTCAACCCATCTCCGCCGGTCCGCCAGGGATCCCCCGCGCCGGCGACGCCCGAGCGTCCCGGCATTCTAGACGAGGTGCTCCGCACCGGCTCGCCAGCAGCAAAGCCGTCAGCTTTGGAAGGGTTCGCGCAGCGTCTGCTCTCGGAGCTGGGAACGCCGAGCCGCTCAGCAAGTCCCCGCGGCGCCGCCGGCAAAAAGGAGAACCCTAGCCGCGGTGGCACGTCGTCCGGAACTAGCACGCCTGGAGGGTCCACCACCGGCGATCAGCTCGCTGTGCCGCGCGCCGTGCGTCCCGGCCCAACGGGAGTTTTTGCGTCGCCGTACGCGGCGGGTGGCGGAGACCGCAGCATCTCGCCGAGCAACGGCGGCATCGGCGCGCGTGTCGACGGCGATGGCATCAGCGCCAGCCAGACGGCCGAGTACGCGGCCATGGATCAGAGCATCCTGGCGAAGCGCGTCGGGTTACCGCCGGGTCCGTCGATTAAGCCGATTCCGCTGGACCTGACGTATCGGCCGCCGCCCGAGTCGACTTCAGACGATGATGACGATGAGGATGACGAGGATGACGACGGGGATGGGGATGTGGGCATTGCGCCGGATGCGTCAGAGACGGGAAGTGTGCTGGACGACGGCGCAAACGCAAGTGTGTCGGTGTCGCATGTGCTGACCAATGTCATTATTTTTCAGAGTTTTCTGATGGAGCTGGCGAGTCTGATGCAAGTTCGCGCGGGGCTGTTTGACGAGGTGCGCTTTGTGTAGCCGTGTGTGTGTATGTGTGTGTGTGTGTGTGTGTGGACGAGGACATGTTGTTGAGGTGAAGGAGCTTGGGGAGGTTTTTGTCTGCCGCTATTTTTGGGACATGGAATGCATGATGGGTAGGCTTGGACTGTGGAGGGGTGAAAGTGGGCTTGACAATGCATTGTTTTTTATAAACACATTATACCAAATGTCTATTTTGTTTTCTTTTTGCTGTATGTGCATTTTCTGCTAATGTAGGGTCTCTACTATTTGAAGCGACATGGGCAGGATGGAAAGAAGCTGGGTAATTCACTAGGTCGTGGATGATGGATAGGAGATGGACATGGGCATGTGACTGAGGAGGCTGCTGCAAAAAAAGTGCAACATGTGAAAAAGTACAAAAGCTGATTGAAAAGGTGGCTGATGGTGTCTGAGTGGTAGGTGGTGTTTTTGTTTGGCTGAGATATCAGCCCTAGTCGGGAATTGATTGCAAATCGATCTAACTAGGGGTCGTTTCTGAATGTCTCGAGAAACCCGCAAGATTCCATTCCGTCCCATGCTATCTATGGTGGGCAAGGTCTACCAATACAGTACGACATGACGTTGGCTGGAAGCCCTTTTAGATAGGAGATTGTGGCGCGTTAAATGGTGCGCTGCTTGCATATCCTCTCTGTGTGTGAAAAAAAAAAAAACTGCATCTTCCCAACCTCCAGGTCCGCCCGCACCTTACCATGACCTTTGCGAGGCCGAGTCAACCCCAGCCCACGCAGGGGTTTTGGTTGCTTTCCACGAACACCCGTTTTCCTACTTGACACAACCAACCAACGGAAAAGTTCTTTTTCAACCGGGGGATGTCTGTTTTCAAAAAGCTTGGGCAAACTTGAACCCTGCTTATGGGCGGGCTAGGGTTTCCCGGGGTAGCAAGAACTTGTGGTTCATCTGATTTTATTTATTTTACTCCCCCAAACACTTTGTTCTAAAGCCATCTTTGCGACGAATTTAGACCCGATACTAGTGCGCCCCCCCCCCGCCCCCAACGTAGATCTGTCGTCTAAAAAGGCGTCGATTAACGAGGCTGAATTGAGGGGTTGGCTCGTGTCTGCAAAGCTGAATTGCGGTCTTTTGCTACGGAGTAATCCGTAGTGAAATAAGTCCCCCCCGTTCAGTCGTGATTTTGGCGGCGCCCGTTCCCTTGGTATAGACGTTGGCGGCCTGTTGATTGAACAAGAGCTGTAAAAAACTCGGTTAATATTGCACACCCCCATCTCAGGCACCCCGCATAGAGAGAGGGACCCTGTCAAGCCTCCCGAATCTCGGATTGACCTGGTTCGTGCTGGTCTTGGCGTCCCCTGTGCATGAATTGAATGTGGTTCCCTCACACATATCCGCTCTTCTGGTCGGAGAACGGCACGTCGGCGGCCCCGACACCTCGGGATTGCGCGTTTCCAAAAGGGTTACTGAAGAATCGAGGGCTTTCACAGGCCTCAGCATAAGTTATTAAGACGCTTTCTAATTATGGACATATAGAAAAAAAAAAAAAACGGGCAATGTGGCTGTCTTGGTTGGCAGCCAGTAAAACCCCCAGCCACCAGTAACTAGCCAACTGCATATGACACCCAGCCACCCAGCCTGTGCAGGTCGGCGTGCATCAGATTGTAAGTCGAGTCCCCCAACCTCTCTCGAATTCTGCATACAATATTGTCCCCTGTCATTTCTAGAGTACATAAAATGCTCTGCGTCAGTCATCATCTGTTTTTCTAAGTTTTGCTTTCTTTGCTAAGCTTGCTTTCCTTGTCTTTCGTTAAGAAGTCTTTACACACAAAAAAACGTCGACATCATGTTGTCCAAGGCACTCGTGTCTGCCGCCGCTCTCGCCCTCGCCGTCTCGGCGCAGACGTCCACCACATGCAGCCCTCTCAAGCAAGGTACGTTATTGCTCTTGTAGCCGTTGCGTCTCACAAAACGCTGTGTCCTCCCCTCCCCCCCCCCCCCCCCCCCCCGGGNCCCGGGGATGGTTCGGTACTTCACTCTTGCTTTTTAAACAAGACGGCTAACACACGGGGCTTGCTTTTCAGACTGCCCCGCGGATCCCGCCGTTGGCAAAAAGAGCATCCGCTGCGACTTTACAAAGGGCGCGTGCGACGCCTTTGAACACATTGCCGGCAAGGAGGTGACGTACGGCCCGCGCGGCGCCGTCAGCGCCGTCGATGCCCCGATGCAGGCTCCGACGCTACAATCCAAAAAGACCATTTTTTTCGGCCGGCTCGAGGTGGAGATGAAGGCGGCACCGGGAAAGGGTGTTATTACCAGCATCGTGTTGCTGTCCGACGATCTTGACGAGATTGACATTGAGGCGGTCGGCTCCGACACGGCGCGCATCCAGTCCAATACCTTTTCGCGCGGCGACAGCACCCGCCACGACCTACTGGGCTACCTACCCGTCGCCGACACGACGGCGGCGGCGGGCCACACGTACACGGTGGACTGGACGACGGAGCGCATCGAGTTTGCGGTGGACGGCGTGGTGCAGCGCACGCTGCGCCGCGCGGACATACCGGATTGATATCCCGAGAGCCCGATGCGGGTTAAGCTGGGCGCGTGGGTGGCAGGGTATGAGGGCAATGCGCCGGGCACGATTGAGTGGGCGGGCGGCGTGGCGGACTTTTCAAGGGGTGCGGCCGAGGCCGTGTTTGAGCGTGTGACGGTGACGGATTATGCGGGTGGCAGCGCGGCTACGGAGAGGGACGTCGAGGAGTACTCGTATGGAGATCGGTCGGGCAGTTCCAAGAGCATTCGGATACACCTCGCCGACGGTACTACGATTACTGGGGAGGCTCCGTCGTCTGGTGGCAGCGGCAGCAGCGGCAGCAGTGTCAGTGGCAGCAGTGTCAGTGGCAACAGTGTCAGCGGCAGCAGTTTCAGCGGCAGCAGTGTCAGCGGCAGCACCAGCATCGAGACGGCCGAGTCGAGCTCGCCCGTGTCGTCGGCCGCCGCGGCCGCATTCACCAAGGAAGTTCTGGCCATGGGAAGGGCGGCCACGGAAAACAACTCGACCATGATCACAAAGACGACTGCAAGCACGCAAACGAGGGGTGATGGCTCCGGCACGGCCACGCACACGGCCACGCGTTCGAGCGTACCCAGCGCGCCGCCGGTGACTGCCGCCGCCGCCGCCGGCCTGACTGTTGGTGCGGGCCTTGTTGCCCTTGCTATCCTTTTCGCTCTGTAGATGAACGGAGTAGGTGGGGTATGTTGTAATGAGTCAAGGTAGGGTATGATTGATATGACGCCATGTATATTGATGTAAATAGGATATGTATGATTAGATTAATTTCGCCTCACAACGGTAGCTTAATTCAAAGTGTGGCTCTATATTGTGTTCCTGACTGCAACTTGTGGTCATCTATAGAGTGATACAGGCGCTTACTGCTGGGCGGGCCCGGGGCCTTTCGAAATAGTCTTTTGTTGTAATTAATAAGTCTAGTTTACTACCGAGAGCATTTTCCTTGATAGACGGCCCAACTCGAGCACTTGATTCACGGCACAGACGGGCTTGGCCTTACTGCACCAATGCCGACTCGCCCAACACAAATTGCACCAGTTTTTACTTATTTTTTTTTTTTTTTGTTTTTCTACTATATTCTCTACATTGTTCCAGCTTATCTATAAGCCTACTAGCTCTAGGTTTGTATGCTCACTATTACAATCCTTAGTAATCTAGTTATATAATCTACCATCTCTATTCCCAGATTCCTACAAGTGCCTTGTATTTTCTCATTTCTTGCTGCTCAGCAACTTGCTCAAGACGACGAAATTCGGCCTCTCCTTGACGATTTCAGCACGGCTGCCGCTGGCTGATCCGAGCATTATCCTCCCACCTCACGGTACCGAGGAGAGGGTGACCGCCGTCTAACAATATCTAGTTAAATACTACTAGTGTTTACTGGCCGTTAGGGACATGAGAGTACTGTTAAGCTATTTCTCGCAGCACAGCGAATGAAGAGGATGAGTCAGATCGTCGTACACCGCTCTTAAATATGGCTGGCAATAGGGCGCGTAAGACGCTGCGGGGGAGATGCGACGTCAACGTGGCTCTGTCCAGTGCAGTCAGCCGAGCTTTAATGGTATGTATTGCTACCTTGCATCGCATCATGCAGCCTGGCCAGCTTACCCCTCACTTGTCCACTTCCACGTTTCCAACACACAGCGCGTGACATTCTGCCGGTGAAGCGCTTGAATACATCATTATCACCTTCCCAGGTCCGCCCAAACTCAGCTTGCGCCGTCGAGCATCCGTCGTCCCGCAGCGTATCGACAAAGGAAGCCGGGCGCAACCAACAAGGTTATATCAAAATTTTCATTCGTTGTCAATATTAGATTCCTCTCGTTGAATTAGTGCAATTTTTCTCCAGAAAAGGAGGAGAACGCTTCTGCTCGCCATGGTTAGAACCCGTCAGCTAGGCGACTACACCATCGTACTGTTCTGTCCTCTGGTGGTTGAGCAACAGGCTGCATGTCTTATGTTGGACGAAGTCCACGACGAGCTCCCAGACAGATCAGCCGGGCAGACCGTTCTCTACACCCTTGGCAGAATCGCCTCCTATAATGTGGCTATCGCTGGATACCCAGTTGGAGAAGTTGGTGGGGGCGTGTCGGGGAGCATGGTGTCGGAGGCGTTGAGAGACTTTCCAAAACTCGAGGCTGGCCTACTTGTCGGAATCGCTGCGGGAATTCCGTCTTCAAAGCGTGATATTCGCCTGGGAGATGTGGCCGTTGCCGTCCCTAATAAGGACAACCCGGGAGTCATCGGTTATGATATTGTCAAATTTGAAGAAGATCAAGTCCGGATCAAGCAGTGGCAGAACTCGACCCATTCTCTCTTGCGCTCTGCCATTAACAGTATACGAGTCCACCAAGGCCGCCCCGGGTATAGCTTTACTAGGCACCTTGAGGTTCTGGACAAGGCGGTGGCTTTCAGGCGACCAGGCTCGCCTCATCCGGACAGTGACTTTCTAGTCTCGGACATGCAACAGTTTGATCACCGCGACGAGCCTATAGTTCACTACGGTACCATACTCTCTGGGAACGGTGTTATCAAGTCAAAAGCAAAGAGAGACGAGCTGAGAGATAAGTATGATGGGATTGCCATTGAAATGGAGGCAGCTGGCATGACGACCAGGCTGCCCGTTGCCGTGATTCGCGGAATCAGCGACTTTGCAAACTCGGACAAGAACGATGAGTGGCATGCATACGCCGCCATTACTGCGGCGGCATACGCAAAGGAAATGTTGATGAGGCTTGGGCCTCTGAAAGAAACCGGGTCAGGTACATGATCCTTTTAGATGAATAATTCGCACACTCAAGTACCGCTGTGGGATCAAACACGAAAACTAACAGACGATCCCAGCATCACCGTCTGTCATTTCCCGTGACTTGGAAGCCTGCTTGAGACTGGCCTTGCCAGAGCAACGCTGTTTTGTAGGAAGAGAAGCCGAGCTTGCAAAGCTGGAGAAGTGGCTGAGTCCCTCGCGTCAGATGCCGCCACAGAAATCCGTCGTCTCGCTCTGGGGCCTTGGTGGTGTTGGCAAGTCGCAGCTCGTCTCTGAATTTGTGAGCAGACAGCGAGAGAAGCACGCGATAGACGTCTTCTGGCTTGCGGGAGAAACCAAGGAAGCTTTTGCACATAGCATACTCGGTTTCCTCAAGGTTGGCCAGGGCTCGGGAGGCACAAGCCCAGACGTTGGCGGAAGCTATCATGAGCAGCGCACTATACTCGTCAATTCGTTCTTTTCCGAGCTCAAAAGCATGGTGCGCACTAGATGGCTTCTTGTTATTGATGGGATATCAAGTATGCCATCCCAGCAACAGCATATCCTAAGCTACGTTGATACTCTCCCCTACGGCTCCATCGTTCTCATCACCAGAAGCAAAGAGCTAGCTGGGCGTTACTATCAGCGGATTGAAGTCAAGGGCTTGGATGAAGAAGATGCCGCCGAGCTTCTCGGGGTAGAGATTGATGAACCGTTTCAGAAGGGCAGTCAAGGTATGACGAACGTTCTCTAGCCTGCTTGGCAACCTAAGGGTGGGCCTGTTTCGCGCGGCTGACCACGAATGCAGATATGATTGAGCTCGCCAAGATGCTAAAGTTTCACCCTCTTTCACTGAATCTCGCAGCATCTGTCCTATCTAATTACCCCATCAGTGTAGCGCAGTACATCGAGCAGTGGAAGCAGCGACAACTTGATGAAAGTTTCCCGGCCGAGAAGGCGCTGTCGCACTCATTCGACGTCAGCTTTGAGGAACTTGAGAGTACTAACCCACTGGCTGCGAAATTTCTGATGCTTTTTGGCTTCCTGGACCACAGGGACATGTGGTACGATCTTTGCTTGAGCATAGGCCATGGCGAATACCCGGACTGGCTACGGCAGATGGCAAGCAAGCGCTTCGATGACTTGTATATCCCCATTCGAAACCTGTCATTCGTGGAAGCTAAGCCAAACGACTGGAGAAGCACGGTTGTATACGAAATCCATCCCGCAATTCACGACTTTGCCAGACGAAAGGCAAGAGAAAGAGGCGATGAGGAGGAGTATGTAAGATGTGCGATATCCTTGGTCGCAGCCAAAGTGCCGCGATCCACAGACAAGGACTTTCTTGCTACAGTACAGCGACTCGAGCCGCATGCTGATCAGTGCAAGATCTATTTGGACCAGGGCCGTGGAGGCACTGACTTGGACCTCGTAGAGCTTGAGAAATTTGGCAACCTCTTCCGCCATCTTGGGCGCTACGAAGAGGCCTCCGGGCTATATGAAACAATCTTGAGTTTTCTCAAAGAGGAGGAGAAGAACGCGTGTCAGCCAACTATTGAGCTCATGGCTGGCATTGAGAACAATCTCGGCCTGGTCTATCATGCTCGGCGGCAGTACGACCTCGCTCTACGGGCCTTTGACCGTTCATATCAAAGACGCCTGAAGATGACTATGGGAGACAATAGTGCACTAATGGTCACTTTATACAACAAAGGGCGCAGTCTTTTGATGCTAGGGCGGCTAGACGACTCGCTGCAGATGCTACAAATGGCGGCCGCATACTTTGCCAAGACGGCGAGGCCCAATGGCAATGCCCATGTCGACCATCTTCATCGAGGCGAAGCGAGACGAATCTACTTTCGGATACTGAATGACATCGGGGAGGTGCGGCTTCGACTCAATGACACGGACCAGGCAGAACGGGCCTTTAGGGTCGCATTCGACGGCCAGAAGAAGTACCTCGACGTGTTGCATCCCGCCGCCTTTGCAATCAGGCTCAACATGGGAAGGGTGTGCGTGCAAAGGTCTCGATTCGCCACCGCCGAGAAGATATTCGAGTACATTATCGCAACATACACGAGGTGGTGGGGACGACGCCATTCAGAGACGATGCGGGCAGTTGCGGAGCTGGCCGACTGCCATGCGCGGCACGGCGAAATGCAGCGTCTGATGGGCGAAGGAGGTGATTTCGAGTCATTCAAGATGGCTGCGCAGCTTTGGGCCGAAATTCTGCAATTCCATCGGCAAGTATACGGCGCTAGCTCGGACACTGCCGTCTTGGCAAGCTCAAAGCTACAAAGGCTGCAGTTGATGCTCAATCCGATCCCCTCTGAAGATCCGTACAGCGTGTACTACTTTTCAGCAAAGGCCCTGAGCAGAGAACGCCAAACTTGAAGATTTTCTCTCCGAATTAGGTAGGGCCTTGGACACACAACTCTGCCAGTGTGAAAAGGGTTCTAGCTCTCTCTCTGCCTTGTCTTGTACGAGGCAGGACCATCATCTTTGAAATACTACGACCAAGCTTGTCCAGTACGTCAGCGACGATAGGGCACAGTAAATTTTGATCTATTGAGAACCATAATCATTTTATGCAACTAAATTATCCATAACTTCCAAAATATAAGCGGCAACCTCTATATCAGTTTGACTCGGTGAGTTGTAACCTCTAATCCATCGAAAGGCTTTCTTTGACTGTTGATCTGATGCAGTCCTGAGGATGCGGAACAGTTTCTCATAAATTTGGTTATCTTTGAGCAGGTCCTCATACCAGCTCTCCAATTCCCGGAACCGGGCATCACTTGATTCGCCCTTTGATCCGCCGCCATTCTCGTTGGGCTCTGGTTCACGGCTCTCGACGACCACCTTTTTCTCGACGAGGTCCTTTGCGGAGAGCTGTGCAGTGGAAGGGGCGGCGGCCAAAGGCGGATTGTCAGAGTGTGCGCGTTCCAGATGGTCTCTCAGCTTCCATTTACGGGAGAAGCCGTTGCCAGGCACAGCATGCTCGCAGCCTTCCATCGAGCACAAAAAGGGCAAATGGCCGCGGCCGTGTAGTCCGTGCGCTTCGCGCTCGTGGCGTAGACGGCCAGCAGTGGATGAGAATCGAGCTTCTTCGCAAGTCTTTACCTTGCAGCGGTACGGCTTGAGATGAGAGTCGACATAGGTGCTGCAAAAGTTAAAAGTCATTAGGTAACGAATGAAAAAGCTGCACCCTGAAGCAACATGTTCCTCACTCGTAAATGCACTTGAGCGGCACCGGTTCGTGATAGCAGCCCGGTTGGCCCTCCCAGGGGCAGTGGAACAGGCCATCGGATCCAGGAACGGCGTTCTCATAGAGAGTCGATTCTCTTGCAGACTCAGTATCACTGCCTTGGCCGCGCGAGGCATCGGCATCCAGTATTGGCGTGGATCCCATTGTTGGTAACAATTCAGCGTAATGATCAGGCCATGAATAAGAGGATTTCCTCATTGTGGTGTTGATAACTTTTCTCTGCTTTTTACTCGCCCCTGGCGGATGCGATATGCCACTGTCAAGGCTGCCATAGGACGAGTAGGACGACGAACATGGCGTGGACGACGAACATGGCGTGGACGACGAACATGGCGTGGACGACGAACATGGCGTGGACGACGAACATGGCGTGGACGACGAACATGGCGTGGACGACGAACATGGCGTGGACAAAGCCAAGTATTCGTCGTTCCAGTCCTGGTTTGAATGTGAAGGGTGTGGGGGATGAAATGCATCGCGGCTCGTGGCATCTACAGTCATGTCGAGATTGTAGTCAGCCCCGACAATTGGGATTGGTGCCGAGCTGGCATCAAACTCTCCTACGAGAGCGGGGTCTATTTCGTCCATCGTTTCAGCAGACCGATCGCGATTTCGCTGGGTGAATGTACTCATTGTAGTTGGACCTCGTTTCGTGTTAGACTGGGACCTGTCCTCGTCGCAAGGTTGTTGTTCCTAGGGGCCTTGAAAAGGGATGCGGGGTTGGTGCCTAATATTAGTCAGTCATGTATTTATAGACCAAGTATACATAGTTGCCAGCTATGGCGGACGATGATATAAATTAGCTTAAATACATTTCTAGCCCTGCTCAAGTCGTCGCTCACGATGACTCTGTCGTACAGTCCCGGGCAGGAAGTCTACATGCTTCTATGCCCTTCTGTGCGCTGAGTCGCCTCCTTTTCACGCTCTCTTCCGTCTCCGAGCCGCGCTCTCGCAGTCTTGCCTGAAAGGCTCCTCTAAACTCGGCGGCCTGACAAAGATGTGCCGAGCGTCCATCGCGCCACGTCTCCGCAGCTGCTCAGCCCCGTCAACGTCAATCTCTAGTATGACTATGAGTCCCTTTTAGCCGTCTTCTCTGCGACTGTGGCGATGCTGGTGCCCGTAGTAATGGGCCGTTATATAGAGTGTGCTCTATGAATGCGGCGCGGGAGATGAGTGCTTCAAATTCAGGCTGGCTGATGTAGAAAATAATCGACGCCTTCCTCTTCGCCCACGCGCAAAAGTCTAGTGGTATGCGAACGCAGTCTTGGTGAAGCGGTTGGGGTATGACTGAAAGAGCATGTCGATGAGGGTGCCTTTACCTAGCGAGCAAGACACTCGACCGAACAAGACCAGCGCTATAGTAAACGCCTCGGCAAGTTGACTGATAGTTGCCTTGAGGCAATACACAGAGAATGAAATATAAAATTGGTAAATTTGTTCTGAAGCGAATACTAGCTAGCTTAATGTCATGAGATTAGTGTATTCGACCGAGAGCAGTGACGCCTCTGCTACATGGAGTTGCTTGAAGCATGGGAGTCCTGAACGTATATAGGGTGTAATTCACATCAATCAAGGTGCGGGTCCACATTTTTACGACGACAGTTGGACAGGAGTCGGGGTCTCAGTATACAATAATTTGCAAGTTGGTATGCATCCAATTGGCAATTGCGGCTCAGAGTCGGTGTTGATATGTTTTACATCTTTCTCGATAGAGGCACTTGTCGTGTTTCAAGTAACTTGGGTTGAGAAATGATTAGAGGTATTCATCATCACTGCATTAAAGAAGGAGCACATCCACCTGTCTGTTTGTTCAAGCAAACTACCCCAAGGTAAAGGTACCTTAGTTTGTATTGAGGAGCCCGCCCCAGTATTGCCGCCTAAAAAAAGCGCTACAAGGAGTCGAGTTTAGTGTTTGGCGCAGGGGCTCTCGGGTCTTTTTGTTTGGGGATTTCGGCTTAGTCCAGCCAATCAACGTTGTCGCTCTGCTGACATAGCTGACATGGCGTCTGCGCCATGTCCAAGTGCCAAGTGCCACGACACCTTCAATAACCTATTCAAGACGTCCGAACACCCGCCGCCCATCACTCACTTCTTTTATCCCAGCCTGCCTCTTCCTCCCTTTACGATCTCGATTCATCTCACGGGCTGGGAGTTTTCTTCTGCTTTTTTTGCTGTCTCATTCTTGTACCTTTATCGCCCTTCCAGACTTTGCTAGCTTCTCCCGTCACACATCGGCCAAGACCGATCTCCCCTCTGCGACGGGCCGTGCCCCTGCAAACCTCGCCTCACCGTCAACGTGCTCACCCACTCGCATGGGGATCACTCACGTGTACACTCAGGGACTTCTACTCAATGCGGTAGATTTTACAACGTTCCCCTTTAATCCCATCTTCCGCCTCGCTGCTAGACAGCAATCGCTTCAATGAAGGCCACAGCGCTTCTCGGCCTCGTCGGCCTCGCTGCCCTCTCGACTGCGCATGTCACTCGCGACTATGACAACAACGACTACTACGTTCTTGAACTAGATCAAGGCATTCAGCCTGATCACGTCGCCGACCGTCTGGGCCTCCGACACGAAGGCCCTTTAGGCGACCTCGATCACCACTACATCTTCCGGTCCCCTAAATACGACCACGATGTTGTCAAGCGACAGCTTCTCGACCGACGAAGACGGAAACGCGATGGCTCACAAGACATCATCGACACTGTTCGCCTCGCCAGAAAGCAGCACCCGCGCACCATGTTGCAGAAGCGCATTCCTCCGCCGCCCCTGCTCGGCCCTCGTGCCGAAGCACAGCCCAATGCCGCCGCCCTCACCAAGCAAAATAGCGTCATGAAGCTTCTCTCCATCAACGATCCTACGTTTCCTGGTCAATGGCACCTCTTCAATCCTGTCCAAATAGGCCATGATGTCAACGTCACTGGCGTCTGGGTCCAAGGCATCACTGGCAAGAATGCCACCGTCGCCATTGTCGACGACGGTCTCGACATGCACAGCCTGGATCTCATGGATAATTATTTTGCCGCCGGGTCCTGGGATTTCAATAATGACGACCCCGAGCCGGCGCCAAGGCTACCCGAAGACGGCCACGGAACCCGGTGCGCTGGTGAGGTCGCCGCCGTGAAGAACGACGTCTGCGGTGTTGGTGTCGCTTACGACGCCAAGGTTGCCGGTATCCGCATTCTTAGCAAGCCCATCAGCGACATGGACGAAGCCGAGGCCATGATTTACGAATATCAAAAGAATCAAATTTATTCTTGCTCCTGGGGCCCTCCCGATGACGGCCGCTCCATGGAGGCCCCGGGCATTCTCATTCGCCGCGCAATGGTAAAAGGTATTCAAAAAGGCCGTGGTGGTCTCGGAACAATCTATGTCTTCGCCTCTGGCAACGGCGCCGCTGCTGAAGATAACTGCAATTTTGACGGCTACACCAACTCCATCTACAGCATCACTATCGGCGCCGTCGACCGCGCAGGCAACCACCCATACTACTCGGAGCATTGCTCCGCCCAGCTTGTCGTTACTTACAGCAGCGGGAGCGGCGACTCTATTCACACCACCGATGTTGGCACCAACCAGTGCACGACCGCCCACGGAGGCACTTCTGCCGCCGCCCCTTTGGCTGCGGGTATCTTTGCACTGGTTATGCAAGTGCGGCCGGATTTGACTTGGAGAGATCTTCAATATCTCGCCCTTGAAACAGCCATCAAGGTAGACGACCCCAATGCCGACTGGCAAAATACCACCATTGGCAAGCATTTTTCCCACACCTTTGGCTATGGCAAGATTGACAGCTACGGTATCGTTGAACGGGCCAAGACCTGGGAACTGGTCAAACCACAGGCCTGGTTCTTCTCACCTTGGATCCACGTCAAGACGAATATCCCTCAAGGCGATGTTGGTCTTACCTCGACCTTTGAGGTTACCGAAGAGATGCTCAAGAAAGCCAACCTTGCTCGCTTAGAGCACGTCACCGTCACCATGAATATCGACCACACCCGTCGCGGTGATCTCAGCGTGGATCTCATTAGCCCTAATAAAGTCGTCAGCCACATTGCCACCACCCGGAAACTTGACAGCCATGGCGCTGGCTATGTTGATTGGACGTTTATGAGTGTTGCTCACTGGGGCGAAACGGGTGTCGGAAATTGGGCCATTGTTGTCAGGGACAGCACCGTCAACGATTACATAGGCAACTTTGTCGACTGGCACCTCAAGCTCTGGGGCGAGTCCATTGACGCCGACAAGGCCACACTCCTCCCTCTTCCCACCGAGGATGACGACGTGGATCACGATGAGATCGAGACCATCACCGTGCCCGCCAGCACCACGTCCATCTCGGTGGCAACAGGCGTGCCCACGCACACCGACGAGCCGGGCGACGACCACCCCGACCGGCCCACCAAGCCCGCTGGCGAGCCGTCGCCCTCACCCACGACCACGACGCCGTCCAGCACGCCCGTGGACCAGGAGCCCTCTCCGAGCAACACGGCCTCCAACTGGGTCTCGTGGCTGCCGTGGTTTGGCTCCAAACAGGCGACGATATGGATCTACGGCGCCGCCGGCCTCATTTGCGCCTTTGGTATCGGTCTCGCCATCTTCTTCTACATTGCCCGCCGTCGCCGTCTTCGCAACGACTCGCGCGACAATTACGAGTTTGAGCTCCTCGACGAGGAAGAAGGCCGTGATGGCGGCCGCGATGGCCAGGGCGTGGAAAAGGGCCTCGTCTCGGGCAAATCAGGCCGTCGCACCCGCGGTGGCGAGCTCTACGACGCCTTTGCCGACGGCAGCTCCGAGGACGAGACGGATGATGATGACGACGAGTACGACGCCTATAGGGACCGCTCCGCCGAGCGCCTCGCCGGTGTGGAGACTCTTCCAGAGGATGAAGAAGAAGAAGAAGAGCAGCATGTTATTGGTGATGAAAGTGACGACGAGGACGGGCTAGATGAAAAGACTGCTCAGGAACGCCCTCTGACAAAATAAGCCAAGTTTTTGCATGACCTTGTCTTTTTTTTTCTTTTACCTTGGATGTTTCATAGGGTTGCGGTTGCTTTATATGTATATTCTCATTACTCTATATCGTCATTGTTTTTTTTCTTCTTTTGCATCACTCGTTTTTCTGCTTCAGAAATCATTGAAATGGTGTCCAACGGGAATAATAAAAGAGAGTGAGCTGGGAAAATGGAATAGTCAAACAGCCACACACATTTAACGTCTGTCACAGCAAAGCAGGTTACACTTTTTTTTTTTTACAACATATTGAACAATTTTCTTGACTTTATCTGACATGCTCGAATTAAAAAGAGTCGATAGTAGGGGAAAATTTTTGCTCGTTTTTCCTAGTAAATCGCCTGATCATAGTTGCAAAAAAAAAAGGTTACAAAATAAAAAGTGCTTGGCTGTTGAAAGCACGGCAGTGTACGTACGCTATATATACAAGTCGAGACCACGAAAATCTATGCATCACGCTGCCACGACACCCTCCTTGTCCATTTCCTTTATATACGCCTCCCAGGTATCAATCACAGCTCCGTAAAACGCGACGTGGGCATCGGCGAGCCCAGCGAGCTGGCTCTTCATCTCGATGCGCTTGATGCGCTCAAAGTCGGCCGTCTCGCGAACGACCTCGTCGTCAAAGAGATCGCTGGTGCGACGCGCATTTTCCACCTCGTGCGTCAGCTCCTCAACGCGCAACTCGAGCTTGCGGGTGCGCTCGCGGCGGGCCTGCTCGTGGTCGACGCCGCGGACGTCCTCGAGCTTGGCGCGGAAGAAACCGCCGGGGCCCGAGGCGGCGTGGCCAGTGTGAAGCTGGTCGCGCTCAGTCGTCGACTTGTTGAGGTACTCAGTGAGCTGCTCAAAGTCGAGCTGCTTCTGCTCGCGCGCGCGGAGCAAGTTCTTGAGAGCAAATGAGTAGGCCTGGAGGTCGCGGAGGGAGCCGAGGTAGTCCTGGTCAGTGACGTCCTTGAGCGTGCGCAGGTTGGCGGCCGTGTCCTCGATGGAGATGGCAAAGGCGTGCGCGGCGGGCTCCACGCCGGGTTCCAGCGTGATGAGTTTCTGGAACTGCTCGGCCAGGTCGCGCATGTCGGCCTCGAGGTCCGACTCGCGGCGGACCACGCGGGCGACGACTTTTTCAATGTGGTTGAGGTCCTCGTCGAGCTTGTCGCTGCGGTCCTTGACCTCAATGAAGCGCTTGTCGGGTCGGTGCACCTTGGTGAAGGCGTTGATAAAAGTGTCGGCAAAGTTGTCAAAGACGCCGCTGGAGCCGTTGGGGTCGCTGTGGATGCTGGACCGCGTCGTCTTGCTGCGCACCGTGGCGTTCCAGTCAGGACTCTCAAGAAAGCTGTGCAGAATGGGTGCGCGCCGCAGCACCGGGTGCAGCGAAAGCCGAACGAGGAACCGCTGCAGCGAATGCGCACGGCGCGACGTAAAGTCGCTCCCAAACCGGTCCCCACGGACGTACTCCATGCGCTGCTTGTCAGGAAGCGGCGGCACCGCGGTGGCCGGAAAGTCGCGCATGAGCTGCTTCGAGAGGAATACAAAGTCGGTGAATCGTCTTCTGACATTGGTGTCTTCTCGCTGAAACGAGGGAAAGGTGGACTGTGACGACATGGTACGTTAGCATCTTCAGAGGCCGCCAAGCAAACTTCGTCAAGCCCCAACATACATGAGTCGTAATCAGGTAGGACACAAAGGCATCCTTGCTGCCGTCATTCTCCTTGAGGGGTGTTCCGACCGTACAGTCGAGTATGTGGCTGTCGCCCGCCGCGTCGTGAGGCAGGCCGACCTTGCCAGTCGACGGTGCGGCACCGCCTTCCGCGTCGCTCGTTTGCGGTGGCAGCCTGGCGGCGGCGGCGCCTTCGGGGTGCTCGCTCCACGAGACACTCGAGAAATTATCCTGCTCGCGTTCCGGGTCCGTAGAAGCCATGCTGGGCAGCAGTCTGTGTGGTGTGTGCGTGGGAGACCAGGTGTAGCTTTCGGCGCGAGCCGGACGAGGCGGAGTCGAGGATGTCACGGCACAGCTCGGATAGCGAAGCTGCGGGCGTGGTGGGACGCGGGGCAAACAACGACTGCGACTGTGGAATGGCAGCGCGGTAAATACTTCGACTCTGATCGAGTTAAAGGGAAGATGGCCGTCGCTCTGGATGGACTGTTCCAAACGTCGAAAGTCAAGACTTCAATGTGGGGGATGTACAGCGGAAGGTCGCGGCCTGTGCTCCTGCCCAGCACTGTTGCCTCCTACAGAAGCGCCTGAAGCAGCGCCGCGAATAGCACAAGCGCGATTACGTCATCTAGCAAGCCACACAGGCAACACCATGCTCTAGTGGTAAAAATGCAATGTTCTTATTACACTCCTCAATTGAAAAATGCAGGTTCTATTTGCTATTCCAGTGGTGTCGAGATCTGTCTATTTGCGCTGTCCCCAAATGCCACTCCAATTCCGTGTCTGATTTGTGGTAGTGTTACAGGCCATCTGATTTCCTGATAATGCCATAAAGGTCGTACATATGAAAGTAAGACAAGTCGTTGAATTACAATAAATGAATGGGGCGGTCTTTCGGTATGCCAAGAATAGTGCATCGTCAGGGACCTTTGCCGTTTATTTCTTTTCGCTAGTCTCGCTGGGGGGAGCGGTCTTGACCTCTCCGCTGACAGCTTGAGCCTGGTCCTGCTCTTGCTCGGCATCAACCATCTCACCAGCTTGCTTCGGAGCGGCGCCGGCCTCCTGGGCAATTTGCTCGCGCTCCTCCTTTTCGTCAATGTCCTCGGTGTCGCGAGGCGTGGCCATGCCGGTGCTCTGGCTCTCTTCGTTTTGCTCATTCTCGTCCTCAATCAGATCCTGCTGCTCGCGAATAACCTCAAGACGCTGCTTGTTGGTCGCGGCGCCCTCAGCGTTGTGAACTTCGAGCTCAATCTCGTGGTACAGCTCTTCGGGGATCGAGGAAAGGACACCAATGAGCGCATCAATCTGGTTGCCCCCTTCACCAGAGCCCTGGCCGTACATGTAGGCGTTGCTCAACACCAGTAGCGTGGAAGGAACGCGCTCCTTGAGGCGCAGGTCTAGCCAAGTCTGCAGGTCCTCACGCATACGAGCGGGCGAGACGCTGTGGGTGCGGATGCCACGGGCAGCGCATGCCATCTGCAGTTCAGCGACAGTCAGGCTGTCAACACCCTCAAAACTAATGGCACGATCATCTCTCTTAATCTGCTTCATGCGGTGGCGAATCTGGTAGCGAAGCATCATGTCGGTACCGAAAGTGTTGAGCATCATGTAGCGGCACATGGACACGAGCTGGGGGCGCGACAGGTTGTCGAGGGTGAGATCGTCGCGGAAAACCTGGCAAACTTTGATGACGTCTTCGTTGGTGGGAGCCTCACCAGTGGATCGGACCTTGCGGAAGAAGTTGGCGAATTCTTCCTTTTGCGCCGTGGCTGCTGTGAGAGGGAGTCCAGTCTCCTTTAGCGTCTGGCGCAGGAAAGTGCTGACTTCTTTTCTTGTGCTTCGGAGGACGGTGGCCTTGGCCTCCTTGGACTTTGGCCCCTCGAATGTGCTGGGCAGCATGTTGGGGAATAGCTTGAGAGCGAGCGGCAATAGCGCTTCACCAAGCGGCACAATAATAAAGACGGAGAACGGCACTAAACGGCCCAGGTCCTTGACAGTTCGCTGAAGCTGTCTATGCTCTCTGCGGGTCAGCTCGTAGCCCGCTGCCATCTTCAGGGCCAGTCTCCAGCTAATTTTGATTTCAGCTGCCAGCAGCTTACTACCATCCCAGTAGTGACGAGCCTCTTTCTTGACTTTTTGCCACAAGGTGAGCTTCTTTTCTTCCTTTTCCTTCTTGAGCACCTCTTTCTGGTGCGCGTGCTCGTCGGACTTGGCAATCAGCTCTTCCATCTTGGCTTCGTCTTTCGTGAGAGCACCGTCGGTCGCAGCCTTTTCCTTGCTATCAGTCTTTGCGGATGAAGTCGCCTCTTTGGCGAGAGGCTTCTTGGCCTGCTCGGCATTGAAGCCAGGAGGCGGGCCAGCCGAGGCATCGGATCGGTGATGTTCGGTACTAATGTGGCGGGCGGGCACAAGCAAAGCAAGAGCGGGGATTTGCGATTGGCGCAGAATATGTCGGGAAAGAAGTGCAGATTGAATATTGCGGGAAATTTGACGCGCTGCAGTGGGTTAGCCGGCGCGATGCCGAAGGGGGCAGAGAGGTTATAAAAACTTACAAGCAACCCCTAGGTTGCCGCGGGTGGCCAAACGAGCCGCCCTTGACGAGGCGCTCATGGTGACCGATCGAGTAGTATGATAGAAATGGGTTTAAAAACAACGCTCGGTACGTTTATACGGACATGCAAGTGTTGGGGGCGATGAATGGCGATGAGATTGTGGAAAAGATGAAAACTCGTCGCAACGGATGCCAGTCTTCGATCAGGGCCTAGTGAGATTTGACTGACACGACCGCCCTGGGCGACGGAGCTAGCAGCCGGTTCCTCCGTGCCAGTTACATGCCGTTATTCTTGTTGAGTGGCAGCCACAACTCGGGACCGAGATCACGTGTATAGTCACGTGAGCTGCCCTCAATCTGTCGTCAGGACTCGACAGGACGATAACCAAAGTATGGAGGTATTGCTAGGGAATTATATCATGATAGGTGAGATGATGAGCCCGTAAGAAAAACCAAGCATGGATGCTTGTTGGCATTCTGAAGTGAGCACTCGTATTGAAAGGCTATGTGCATAGCTCAGCGCGACCCGAGGTCGGATTGGCAATTGCATGATGAATTGCAAAATTATTATAAATTTATAAGCGACGTTCCGAAATATATGGTAGGAGTTGCGGTTTTTCGCGGTGAGACAGCGGGAGCAAGTGGCTGGCTGAAAAGTCGCCGCTCTATCTAAGTATTCGGTCGCTACTGATTTAACGTAGAACTTGAGGCTTGTAAATAACCGATATTGTACGGAGTATTTAGTACTTTTCTACTTTCTATCAAGTACTTTCTCTCCTTCCTTACCTACATATCTCCCGCATTCTCTTGTCTGCTTATCGTTCCCATCATTTCTCAGTTGCCTCCTTTTGGCCACGGCTCGGGAGGAACACGTTGCAATGCTCAACAGAACCGGCTCGGCTGGTCGGGGTTGAGACGTCGATCACTCTCGATAATTGAAGGAGTGGATATCATTGCCATCTTCCGTGGTCAACTTGCTACGATTGATCGAATATGCGGTGTAAAATGAGATTTTGTCCCATCTTGCTGCGTCGACTCAGCCCAACGAGCCCCGAATTTTGCAACGTACGATTTGAATCTTGTCACATAGCCTTTACTTAATTGGGAACACCCATGTAAGGTCCCCATATAATTTTGCAGGGGATCATACATGGATCAGAAAAAGCCTGTATTGTGTCTGTATTGTGTGTTGCTCTTTGATGTGTGCCTCTCAGGCCGCCGCGTTGCCTCTGACTCTGCCTCTGGCTGCCAATTGATGCCTCGAGCCGTGATGCTGCTGCTGCCGCCGCCGTCGTGAGGCTGCTGCTGCCGCCGTCGTGAGGCTGCTGCTGCCGCCGCCGTGAGGCTGCTGCTGCCGCCCCTGCTGCTGCCGCCCCTGCCCCTGCCTCTGGCTGCCGATTATGCCTCGATCCGCCGCCGCCGCCGCCGCCGCCGTCGCCGCGTTAGCTGCCTCTGCTGGAAGCCCTGGAGCCTCGCGCTGAGGGAGGCTATCGCGTAATTCGTCTCGTTATGTTGATGTTGATGTTGATGGGAGATTTGTTGTTGTTGATGGAAGGAATAGGGGCACGCGATAGGTGTTTTGGTGGCCCTGATGAGTTCTGGTCTCTGATTGGTCAAAAAAATACTAGCGTCACGCTAATGCAGCGCTAGCCACTAGCGTAACGCTAGACTATAATAGGTATAGCGCTACGTGACGAGATTCAAATTGGACGTTGCAAAATTCGGGGCTCCAGCCCAACCTCGCCATTCCCACATATGCAATGCATGTCCTGCAAATTCGAAGCCACAAATTGGTGCAGAGGAAACCGTTGCCGAAGCGAGAGTAAAAAAATATCATACCTGATCGTGACAAGTATCAATTGTCAGTAGTCTTATGACACTGCAACTTGTCTTTCCTGCCCAGTCTCCATGGAGCTACAGTTGTTACCAGTATTAGGCTTGCCAGCATCGGCTTTGCTACAATGAAGTGGCCGGCATTGGATTTGCCGGCCAGACGGAATTGAGGGTCAAGAGGACTCGAATTGAAAAAGCAATTACGTCTAGGCTGATGTCACCAATACGGTGGCAGGATTGGGTCAGCCTGCAGATACTAGAATCCTGGGTACAGGGAGTCGTGCAGCGATCAGCGCACCGCTGTGCATACACGCTACATGTACGGCTGTTCTGTATCAATAACTGTACGTAGTACTGAGTACTTCGTTTTTCAGCTCGCTACTTGACGACAAATCCGCAAATAAATGTCTCGCGGCAATGGACATTTCTATAAGGATTTGTATGCGAGTTGTATGACATGTCTGACACCTGCATCAAGCAGCCCAGAGCCTAGGGGAAGGCTTCGGTCGCGGGGTATAAGAGACGGGTGAGTCCACCCCAGATATGTTGAGTAAAGACATCTCACATCCATCCTTTACCAATTACTTGCCGATAAATTGAATCAAGATGCGCGTTCCCCTCCGCCGTGCTTCTAGAATGACGTCGACAGAGGTTCGCGTCAGTGCCGACAACGAGTGGACGCCGCTCAAGTCCGTCATCGTCGGCCGGGCAGAGCACTCGTGCTATCCCAGCGAGCCACGACACCTGACCAGCGCGTATGTACCGCGCGAGTTTCTGGACCGCTTCCGGCCGTACCACCCCTTCTCGGCGGAGGTTGTGGAAAGGGCGCAGCAGGAGCTAGACACCTTTGCCGAGGTGCTGCGACAGCACGGCGTGACCGTGTACCGGCCAGACGAGGTGGACTGGCTCAAGCACGGCGGGTACACGGGCGCGATGCCGCGCGACCGGCTGCTGACGGTGGGCAACATGCTCATCGAGTCCATCCCCGCATGGGGCTGCCGGCAGCGCGAGGTCGAGCTGGCGTACAGCACCATCCTCAGCGGCCTACAGCACCCCGAGGGGGCGAGCTGGCGCGTGTTTCGGCAGCCGGTGCTTCACGGGCACGACACCATCTACGACGGCAAGGAGGAGGAAACGTTTGACCCCCAGCACGACTGGGCCATTAGCAACAACCGGCCGGCCTTTGACGCGGCCGACTTTATGCGCTTCGGCAAGCACATTGTCGGGCAAATCAGCCACGTTACCAACCAGAAGGGCATCGACTACCTGCGCGCAGTGCTGCCCGAGGGCTACACGGTCGAGCTCATCAAGCCAACTTACGGGAGCGTGGTGCACATTGACACGACTCTTCTGGCACTGCGCAAGGGTTTGCTCGTGTACAACCCGAGCCACATTGGCGAAGAGGCGCTGCGCGGGCTCAAGGCGTTTGAGGGATGGGAGCTGCACGCCTACCCATACACGCCGCCGGTTATCGGCCCGCCCACTGGCGGCCCGGATCAGCCGATAGCATCGCGCTGGCTGGCGCTCAACGTGCTGAGCCTGGACGAGAAGACTGTTTTCGTCGAGGCCAAATCGGTCGAGTTTGCGCAGTGGATCAAGGAAAAGTTTGACATCAACTCCATCATGCTGCCGTTTCAGCACGTGAATAGCATTGGTGGTTCGTTTCACTGCGCGACGGTTGACTTGGTGCGAGAATAAGCGTGCGTGGAAGATTGGCGTATGGTTTGCAGATGGTTCGTTGAGCTTGTTAAAAGGGGAGGTGCTCGAGTCCTCGGCCTTGTCATGTGTTGTTTGTTCGAAGTCGTGCGACGCAAGGCAGCACCAGGGAGTATGATATGCTTGCTGCGCCTAGCAGACAGAATGTTATTGCCAAGGTAGCCGAAATAAAAGCTCAGGTTGATTTGAAGCAGAGACGCTCGGTTGTTCGGGTGAGAGGAGCTGCATGTTCCATGTGACACGTTAATAATCCGGGCACACGAGCGCAAGATGCTCCGACGTGTGGGTGAGCTGGCTGGGTAAGGGTTGCGGCAGGAATGCATTTGATTGCAATAAGGAGAGCGGCATATCGAAAAAACTAAACGAGGTGAAGGCCTCAAAAGGAAGAACAAGGTGGGGGTTTAATATATAGCAATGCGGTCGTCGTCATTGCTTATTATCCGTCGCCGACTTTGATAGTAATATCGCGGTCTGGCAGTGCGGTATTCTGGTACGATTACGGTCGGCAGTACGGCGTCCTCCCCACAGCCAGCCAGGGCGCGCTAGAGCGGCGTCGGCGTGGTCCAAGGACGGCGTGATTTCTGGTCATGATGGGTGAGATGGTGGGGTACTTGACACAAAGTCGCTCTCTGGTGTTGTGCAAAAGTACCTCGCTATTAGCGTGGCAAGCAAGCACCACCACACTTCCCCGCCCCAACGAGCCACGCCAGAGCCACGACAAAAAGCCCAGATGTACAGGGACAATACACGCCAGGCAATTTTGGTTCGCAAGCAGGTACCAATGTTGTTTCAATACCTACTTGGCACAACATGGCGTTGGCTCTGACGCTTGCAAGTTGATGTTCCCCGGAGCTCGGGGAAACAGCAGATTATTTTGCTTATTCACTTTGTCGCCAGGGCTAGTTTAGGCAGCGCATTCTTTTTGGCTTCGCCTTTGCGCCTTTGGTGCCCTTCTTTTAGTGCGCTCATCCAAGCCTCCCCAGGTTGCTGTTCTTGTCTCCCATATCTCCGTTCCCGCGCCTCAACACCTCGTCCCTCCTCTTTCCCCCTCCTACACATTACCTCTCGATCATTCGGTGCATCCTGTTATTATTTGCTTCCTTTATCCGTCGTCACTCTATAGCGTGCGGTCTTATCTTTTCTTTTTTTCTCCTCCCTCTTCTTCGTCGGCTACTTCCGACAGCGACTCGCATCTCAACATCTGCCCCCCGGCCAATAACTACCGCCCCAGTTTAAAATAGCAGGGCGCGAATTGGTCACTTTGGCAAAGGGTCTCTCTAACCGCCAAGTCGCGGGGGATCCTTTTATCCTTGTCTTTTTTCTTGCGCAGAGTGTGAGGAAAGCTTTTGCCACACGCCAATCAATAAAACAATGCATCTGAACCGCGCCGCTCGCGTGCTTCTCGTGGGAGCCCCCGGCGTCGGTAAGGGCACCCAGACGGAGCGCATGCTGGAGCGCTTCCCCCAGCTGCAAGCCATAAGCACCGGCGACCTGCTCCGGACCAATGTGAAGAAGCGCACGCCTCTCGGTAACTACCTACCTACGTCCTGTGCATGCCACGCTTCCACCCCCATGCTGACTGTCTTCCCTTTAGGTATCCAGGTCGAGAGCATCATCAAGTCGGGCGGCCTCGTGGCTGACAACCTCATGCTGCGCCTCATCTCCAACGAGCTTCAGCACCGGGGCTGGCTCTATGGTCAACGTCCTAATGTCATGACGCTGTCTGCCATGGCCGCCGACGCCGCCGACGCCTACGACTACTCGCCGCCCGATCCGTTTGCACACCCAGACACCGGCGGTCCGCCGCCGCAGGCCTCGGATGACCCCAGCGCGTCCTTTATCCTCGATGGCTACCCGCGCAACGCCGCGCAGGCGCTGAGCCTCGACGGCATCGTGCCCATCAATCTCGCTGTCGCCCTCAAGACGCCCTTTGACGTCATCCTCGAGCGTATCGCCGGCCGCTGGGTACACGAGCCCTCGGGCCGCGTCTACAATACGACCTTTCACAAGCCAAAGGTGGCAGGCATCGACGATGTGACGGGCGAGCCGCTGGTGCAGCGGCCCGACGACAACGAGAAGGTGTACCGCGCGCGTTTCCAAAAGTTTCAGGAGACGAGCGAGCCACTACTAGAACACTATGCGAAGAAGGGCGTGTTGATCGAGGTTGAGGGCATGAGCAGCGATGAAATCAGCCCCAAGCTGTACGATGAGTTCGAGAAGCGGTTCGTGAGCTGAAACGCTGGGCTGTCTGACGTTTGACGGAAAGGGCCTCGAAACCTTGGTTTGTATGACGGGACGCTTTGTTCTTGGAGTTTTGGAACCATTTTTTGTAATATTTGGTGCCCGGCCTTGAGCACGTGGGCACGCAAGGGCGTTTTGGCGGGACTTCTTGCTTTTTTTATTTTTTTTGCCAGTACACTGGCACATGCCTCCTCAAGAGACGACAGAGAATTCCTTAGCCTGGCTGTATATAGGGCGAAAGGCAGACGGAGGATTTGCGTGGGCACGACACGTCTTGATGAACAGGAAAGTGTAGCGATGGGTATGATTGAACGACCATGTTCATCCCAAAGGTCGTATCAAACTAGGCAGGCGACTATCCTTACAAATCATTCTTGCCGAAATACGGAGTATATTCCTAGACAAACTCTGACAGTGCTGTTTGTTTGTCTTTCGTAGATGCCAGGCAATAGTTTTCTGCCACATCTGTGAGGCAAGAATGTTTGCATTTTTCTGGAACTGCTGCGGGACTCTCTTTAGAGCGACGTGTGTCTGTCTATTCAAAGTTTAGTATTGCGGCCGCTCGCTTCTTGTCATTTTGAGCCTGGCTAATCCGAGCCGAGTAAATAATTGGTGGTTGCCATCAAAGGGTTGATACATTCGCCAACATCCAAGACAACACGTATGAGACAGACAATGCAACAGAGGAAGTATGACCACCACTGTGAAACGGTAAACGCTAAAATATCAACTGTCAGTCTTCATCGTTCTTTTTTTGGCCTCATTTTGTTTTGCTCTGGCTACTTTCTTTGCAGGCTGCCACTGGCTGCCTACTGGCAATGGCTGCTGAGCTATAATTAGATGAATGATCTAGGGTAAGTATGTGCACATTGGCTGCAGTGCAGCTTCCGAGTCACAATCGCCCAGGGCGGACGCGTGACTCCAACCTTCTTGTTCCTCGGTAATACTGCATCGGTTATTGCTGCCTCGAGAACCAGGATTGGTGGCGCTGTCACGCCCGCTGGATACGGTGCCTGATGGATCACGAACCGGGGACCGGGGTTGGCTGTGGGCTGACAACGGACATGAAAGCGGTCGACGTTGGCGAGATGAATGCCCCGATGCGGGATCCGTACTACGAGAATCCGACGATGTAAATAGTTTGGCCTTGTGTTTCCATCGGTGACGATTTTTCACGGCTGAGTGAATGGCACGCGGGTACTTTTTGCAGCATGTTTTGGGTCGTACAGGCGCATGTATCTACTCCGTCAGGTAGATTAGATCCGTCTCTGCGGATGACTGGAATGCGGACGGGTAGGTTTAGTCTCGAAAGCATGGCCACTCATACTTTTTTTTTTGGTCAAAGGAGAGAGGAACCCCGCACATGTCAAAGAGAAAGAAATTAGCTCTTTTCTTCTTTCCTTTTGATCAACGTCATGACGACCGAGCGCAAGAGTCGGATGGCGAGAAGCAGGCAAATGGTCGCCCATGACTACGAGCATTGGTTACCGGGGCAGCACAGAAGCAAGCTAATTGTAGGAGGCAGCTCTTTTTTTTTTGTGAGGCGACTCTGGTGCAAGTTGATAATTGGGGGGTGAAATAGAGGGAGGTGGGGGGAGGGGTGGGAGAAGTTGTCGCCTGTGGGGGCGGCAGTGTTATTAGCGTTGGGGGGCCTTGCTGTTGCGGTGCTTTTTGCCTGAAAATAAGAAATAAGAAAGAAATAATATCCCGATGGGCTGGGGGAAATGTATCAAAGAATAATAATGCTGCTGCGTTATTGATATGCCATCTTTGCTGCAAAAGGTGCGAGGCAATGGTCCTTTGCTGGCTGCAGCGGCCGACGGGTACATTAGGTGGTATCAAGGAAACAAAATTGTGCCATTGAACAGGGCGAATCGTTTGTTTTCCAGCGTCTAGGCTGGTTGATTGGGCACCCGTGGCACCCACTGGCGGGAGCCTTAGCGTCCTTTTTAGTGTGCCTGGGCGGTTTGGCCGTCTTGTCAAAAGTTGTCATGAACGTGCCCAGGTGCCAGGTGAATTTGGCTGGAGCTGGTAGTGACTTGGGTAAACAAACTCAACTTGAAAAAATTTAAAATTGTGACTGTACAAATGATAAATATGCAATCACGACTTGATGCTTCGACCTGGCTTGCAGCAAGATGATGCACTCATCCTAGATTCATTATACCGCTGAGCCTAGAGACATTTCATCTAACGTCGCTGTGCAGTTAGCCCGTACCGGTACTCCGTACAAGGGTGTATAATTATCGTTGCATCACCATTTTAATTCACTTGATTCTTTAGCAATGTCTTTCTCTGCCTTGCGCCGCACACCCCAGATTCTCGACTTGTCAAGCTGCGCAACTGCTGTACGAATAAGCTGGTTACAGCCTACCTACCAACCACAACCTACCAGTCATTAGCACACCCCTCCTCTTAAGCTATCCTGGCCTTGCCATCTTCCATTGGCCAACCTCATCAGCACCGCCAACGCATCAACCCATCCCTGCTCGCCTCTTGTCGTTTTTCTTTTCTTGCTTCTAGTTAGTTGACATGTGCGGGACAATAACAAAGCCTCACCTGTTTCTTCTGCTTCATCTAGACTTTTGACTCTTTCACTTCGTCCTCCCATCGCCCCCCCGTCCTCTCACCTGGACCGTGCTTTTTTTTGCCCACTGTACAAACTTGGTCCCTCTGCCGATTTGGCCCTCCTCACTGTCCTCAGTGCCCTCAAGGGTCGCAGAGAGTCATCAACTCACCACCACCACCACCCCCGACAGCAGACCAAGCTTCACTTTTGCATCAGCTTGCTTCTGCGCTGCATCATATCGTCTCCCTCTTGGCCCATTCGATTTTCTCCTCGCCGGCTTTTCAAAAAGCTCTTTCGACCTTTTCCACCCATTCGCATTGTTTCCGCTACTCGGTTCCTCTTTACTCTGTACTTGTCTAAAAAGCGCATCTCTCTATTCAACTGTCAAACGCATCCGCCTGTTTGCTTCATCCGCCACATCACCTGACGTCCACACTCCCGTTCGCCGTTTGTCATCGTTCCAGCATCATTTCGCCTTGTTGTCTTCTTACGACCCTCATCATCTTTCCATTCATCTTACTTTTCTCCTACGCACTGCTCTTGACAGCGTTGTTTGTACTGTATGCTCCTCCGCCTCTTCATTCCGCTGCTTCTGTGCCAGCACTGAGTTCGCCGTCACCCGCGTTCATGCATGCTACATACAGCCAGACTTGTTTCGCTCCTCCCCATCTGACAATCGTCGCAGAGTCCCCTTTGACTTGCTTCTGCTCCGCGCTGTCAATTCCGAATGTCTTGATATCTCACTACTCTCACCTTCTCCTCACTCGGGAATTGGCGCCTTCGCAACCTCGGCTTCAGTCAGACCCGCGAACAATATCATCGACACAAATTGGAGCGTGCGGGGCCTGGCTCACGTAAAAGATACATTGGTCCAGCGCCTGTGCCAACATGGGTGCTGATTCCAGAAAAATACCCCCATTGCCTGCGCCCACCGAGACCGACACCGCGACGCCCACCGAGCTGGCCACCGACATCACCACCGATGTGTCCAAGCCCGGCGACGAAAAATCAACTTACTCTCTTCCAGAAGACGGCACTCCAGTCACCATTCGAACTCGTGGCCACAAGGCCAACAAGTCACAGACCTCTCTCCTCATTGAGTACTTCGAGGGTGGCAAGGTCTCCTCATCCTCGGCCGAACGCAAACCCAGTGTCCGTGTTCGCTTGACTCCCTCCAAGAAGGGAAAAGGCGACCACTTTCAAGTCACGGAAACCAAAGGCTCTCGCAAGATCTCACTGACTCGTCGCATCCCTCTCGACCACGCTGCTCCAGGAGACTTGCAGCTCCCTGAAGCCGACGACACTCATAGCATGACGTCTTACGCCTCCGCCACCGAAGAGTCCAACGTCTCCAGGAACCCAATCGACATTGAGATTGAGCGCAGTCACCGCCGCCGCCGCCCCGCTAGCCCTTTAATACCCTCGGAAGACAGGGTCTCTTACCAGCCTGGCAATCCTTCCGAAATTTCAGCTATTCCTACAGACAGTTTTCTAGATGGCACCGGGGGTATGAGTGAAATCAAGCACTCTAGAGCCGATATGAAGGGCGATTTATTGGCTGGAGCTGCTGCCACGGCACTAGCAGGTGCCGCTGCAGGCGAGGCTCTGCACAGCCGCAAGACGAGGAGCACCGAAAAGGAGCGATCTAGTGGACTAGAGCGGCCCAAGGAGAAATCATCGTCCTCTGACAAGAAGCGCCGCTCCAAGAGCCGCACGGGCAGCATGGGAGAAAACACTAGCGACGAAGTTCGCTCTCCTCGCCGTCGCTCTAGCCGAACTCACCAAGAATCTACGGTTTCTGGCGGCGACTCAAGTCTGCTTTCATCAAATGTGTCGGCTGGTAACCGTTCTGTCAAGTCGAGCGCCTCCAAATCCTCCTCCATCAATAATCCCAAGTTGCTAGAGACTGTCGAAGACGCCATTCGTCGTCTAATTCTGCCCGAGCTTAGCGCGCTCAAGCGAGAACAAAGCAAACGTGAAGCTCGTCGCTCATCAATCGCCTCAACAGGCACTTCTGTTTCCAAAGATGACGGTTACACGGAGAAACGGCGCTCCTCTGGCCAAAAGAGCGAGTCAAAAGAAAATATCCGACACAAGGAAAAGCGGAATCGGGAAGCTCGCCACGACTACGAAAACATATCCATGCATAGTCCAAGCCAAGATTCTCTCGGCGCCGACTACACAACACATGAAGAAGCGGCTCCATCACCACAACGAGGCGGCAATTTGTCAAGAGCTGCCGCTGCTGGCGCCGCTGGAGCAATGGCCGCCAAGGGTATCTCCTCGGCGCTGGACCACGGACCGGATTCGTTGGAGCGCAAACAAAGAGACAGACGCCGCCGAAGAGCGGACCACTCACGAAGTCGCAGCATAGGCAGAGATGTCTATGTGGACGACTTTGACGATGACGAGCCGGCTCCGCCAATGCCTTTGATGAGTGACATTAATCCTTCAGAAGTCACAAGGACGTCCATTTTATCCGCCGATACCGACCGACCTCATTCTGCTACCGAGGAGCTGGGGCCAAAGCGAGAGGTTCAAGAGCAGATTGTATCCGTCCAGTCGACGCCAACTCCATCCAGGTCGCCTGCCGAGCAGGTGAAGCCACTATCTATGCAGCACGCCAACGTCTCTCACGGTGACTTGACCAATCTGCCTCGTGGCCAAAAAGAATACGTCGAAGAATACGAGACGGACGAATTTGGCCGCAAGATCCCCGTCAGCCAATATGACTACTACGGTGGCCAAGCCTCACGGGAGCCTCTAGAATACGACGACTACATCGATGACCCCTACTCCAACAACCTGTATAATAGCATGCAAGATGTCCCACCCCCCCTCAAATACGTGCCATATCAGGCTGGCGCTCGAGGACTAAGTCCCATCCCCAGCGTCTCTGGTTACACAGAAGGCGGAAGTGAGGCCCCACTGCCACGCACATCCAAGAGCATGCAATCTGTCGACGCCTTTTCTTCTCCCGAAAAATCACCAGACCACAGACGCCAAGCGCACTCCATCCACTCCATCGACTCTCTTAAGCTGGGTAGCCCGGCACCTCAATTTGCTGCCGGCCAAGAGGTTCGCGGCATTTCTGCCAATCCCAACGTCGTCAACCCCCCTCTGGGTGTGGAGTCCGCTGTCGCTTCCCTGGTTGATGGCTCCATGATCGAGCAGTCTGTTGTCACAGGAATGTCGGGCTACGATAATGGGGCTGGCACCAGGGAATCTGCGCTCTCATACGACGAACCGGAGCCGCAGTCACGCAATCAGGGAGCCATCGTTAGCCCAGACAAATTGTCAATTGATGATGCCAGAGAGCTAGAGGAGGAGCCTCACCACACGCCAACTTCGAGATCAATTGCACAGTCTCAGGAATACTCTGAATATGATCTCGATGACCAAGGCAGAAAGGTTCCGCGTGCCCGCTATCGCAACTCGCCTACAGCATCTGAGGCTGCCATTACTGCTGGTGCTGTTGGTGCTGCGGCCGCCGCTCTCAAAGCTGCTCAGGGGAAAAAGCAGGCTGACATTGAAACGTATGAGGACGAAGATTTCCAACCCGCTGGTGTCAACAGAAACCGATCGTTCAAGGAGCGAGCCATGGGCTGGAAGCCAAGGGAGACCCCCACCCATAGCGTCGATAACTTTGATTACGAAGAGGAAGATGCTCCTCGAATGACCGCCAGCGGTATGCCCGACATGGGCAACCCAATGCCCGAGATTGGCTACCACCTAGAGGACGACATCATTACAAACCCCTCCCTTCTCAATGAGCCCATGGATCGTGATATTCCCAACTGGGAATCAGTCTCTGGCAAAGCCACACCCACCCCGAGAACAGCCGGCGGCTATGAGCAGGCTTCTGGCGAACCAAGCAAGGCTGCCATGGGTCTGGCCGCTGGTGCTGCAGCACTGGGAGCAGCAGCACTTGCGGCGCATAATCGTGATCAAGAATCCGAAGAAAACTGGGGACGGACTTCGGCGGAGCGCAAGCGCGATACTCTCATTACGAACCCCTATGAGGATGCCAGTCCCATTGCCAATCACACTCTGGACGATAATATACTGGATCGCGCCGCGCCCGATGCAACTTATGCTACGCCGTATGGCACCGCCAGCCCTGGCCTTGGTCCAAAATACGACGAGGGCTACATGTCGAATGGCCCGAACCGAACGCCCGATATTGCTGCCAAGACTGTTGGTGCTGGCCTAGACAATCTCGATGAAGACCCATTCTACGTGCCCAACAAGGCCAACCCTCGACACATGAGTGGCTTCTCGCAAGGCATGGAATCACCATTTTATGATGCTGCTATGGGAGCTGGCATCGAGAGAATTGAAAATAAGGATATTGTTGCACTGATGCAACATTTAATGGTTCGCGATGCTCAAAGGAGCGCCAGAGATACAGAGATTGTAGCACTACTCATGAATGCTGCCGTGGAGATGCGAAACTCGTTCCGCGAAATGAAGGAGCTCGTACAAGATACTGGTGACGACGTCATCTTTTCCAACGTCGACAATACCGAGAAGCTCCAAAAGGCTATCAATGGTCCACGCCCCTTCCCTGGTACTGCCACTCGTTCCCTGCAGAGCGCTTCGCAAGCCGGCACTCTCGATGAAGCGACCAAGAAGAAGAACCTGTGGAAGCGAGCTCTTCAAGGCCTCAGTGCAAAGGGTACCAATGACCTCAGCCGCATCGAGGACATGCTGGTGCAGCTCCTTGGTGAGGTAGACGTCCTCAAGTCGCAGACTGCTCCTCCAATTTCATCCGGCGACCAAGGACAGTCTCTCGAGCACCTCCAGCCAGAGGGTCACTACGAGCAAGACAAGGGCTACGAACCCGAGGGCAATTCCACGCCTAGCCATGCCAGCGTACCTCGCGGCCTACAAGCAGCTGAGCACAAGTACTCGGATCACAGGATCAGCACCGTTCAGGAGGACGATGACGAGTATGAGTACGATTTGCCCAGCGCCTCGACTGCCAAGCCCAACCCGGATATGCTCTCGCCGGGCCATGACGCTAATCTTCAGCGGGGAGGATCTGTTCCGCCGGAAATTTCGCCGCAGACTTCATCAGGAGCGCATCAAACTGCTCTCAGCGCGGACAATACGCCGCGTAGCGAAAAGGGAAAGAAGCACAAGTCCAATGGCTCCTCAGGGTGGATTCCCAAGATCTCGCGCTGGTCCGAGACCACTGCGTCAAGTGTTGGCCGGGCATTCCGCGGCAGCGGTGCCTCCAAAAAGGGGTCCAAATATGACGAGTTTCAGCCTCCTTCTCGATCAGGGTCTAGCCTAGCTTCATATGACGATGCCTATGTTGACCAAACCCTTTATGGAGTGGATAAGCTACACACGGGGTTCTCAAATCCGGCACTCAACCAAGAACGTGCCGGCCCTGCACAACCAACAGTGCCGTCCTTTGCGCTGTCTGAAGACCCCAAGTACAAGGCGCATCGCAACTCGGTGAATCTGCAGCACCCACAACCGAGACAAGGGCAGACGGAGCGGCACCAGGCGGCACTTGAACACTCCGCTCGCGAGTATGACAATCCCATGACGCCGCGGTCAACGGATTGGGCCGGGTCGGCGACAAGCCTCAGCCGGCTGCCGGGCAACACTAACCGATACAGTGCATCGTCGGGTGCCACAAGAGAAGCCGACTATGCTCTGTCATCGCCGAAGCAGCAATCAGCAGCACCGCCACGACCACCAAAGGAGCCGCTTGATACGTCGGTGCACACGCCGGTCAAGGGCAACCGTGTAGCATCGTTGCAGAAAAGTAGCCCCGTGGCGCCCACGAGCTACGAGAGCGGGTATGGTAGCGCGAGTGGGACGCATGCCAGCCAGCTGACTGCAGATGGCAGTCCGAAGCTGGAGAACCGCAACCTGAATGCGGCGCTGGGGATCCCGGCTCGCCGGCCTAGTGGACCGCGGGCGATGACACCCAAGAGCCCGGAGGAGGCGGCGAGAGAGGAGAGACGACGCAAAAGAGGTATGCTTATTGAAATGACAGAATGTGAAGTGAGAATGCTAATGGGATATAGATACATTTGGAACGGTCACGAGCCAGGAGGCTGATCCAGGGCCAGTGGCTGAAGCCGGCTCTGAAGCGTCGAAGGAGAATTATTCTTGGCGTCATGATGCTTGAAACTCTTGCAAGGCAAAAAAAAAGAAACAGTGTTATTTAGAGAGCCATGTATAATCTGCTCATGGAATAAGGGGAGTGATGCACAGGCAGTGCGAAGGTACATTTGTGGTGGACATGTCGATGGCACGGCCATGTTATTTAACGACTTGAACGGTTCATATATCATTTATTTATTTGGTTGACAATGCCGATGCATGTTATTTTCTCGACCCCTGGGCATTTTTTGATTACGGACGATGATGCTGGAATTGGAAAGGATGGTCGGATTAAGGCAAGGGACAGGTTTTGGGAGGACGTTTGCACGTGAGGGACATGATTGGAACTAGAAAGAAGAAGAAAAAGTGAAGAAAAAATTAAAAAAATAAAAGTCTGCATTTGTAGCGTGCCCAATCGTTACCTCCTGGTTGCTAGTAGATACGCATCGACACTCACTGGAGAATGAAAACTGACACGACTTCACTATCTGCCCCGGTGTTTATGACGTCGATCAAGTGGGCTTCTGCGTCTTTTGCTGGGTCCCGCTGTGACAACGCAGCTGCATCTACGGTTTTTCGTACAGAACGGGAATATGCTTGAGTGGAAGAGATTGTGACGGTTAGTCGTAAGTGAGTACAGTGTCTTAGATTAGAAGAGATTTTGCGGCTTTTTATGTTTAGCAAGTAGATGCCAAATCGTAACCCAACCTAAAGAAGATGGTTCACGGAAATGCCTGACTTCTCGAACTTGGAATTTAGTGGCCAAGTTACAGCGGTTGTAGCTGTGATGAGTGCCTGGGGCTCGGATTTTCAGGGGCCAGGCGCTGTGATTACAGAGGTCAGCCACTGTAGCCCGACGGGTTTGGTGGATCGCGCAAAATGAACGACTCAGTACCCCTCTTGTCCCGGCGCTAAACTTGAATCGGCACCATCTGCCCCTCCATCGACGCAATTCGGCTGTACCTGGCCCAAACGCATCTCAGCCAATTGCCCCTCCATGCTCAAACAAAAATCTCGTCTTTGGTTTTTTTTTTAAACGCGCATACCCGTCTTCTTTCCTCCAGATACTCTCTACTTTTCCTTCTGTATACGATTCACCCTCAATATACCCCCGATCATCATGGAGTTTGACACCAAAATCCGTATGTGACTCGGCATTTCATGGACAAGCAAACCACTAGCTAACTCGCTCTCAGCCAAATCCGTCACCAGCGACCCTCTCTCCTTTGCGAGCGAGTCTGTCCGCAAGAGGTGGCCCGTCATTCTGGTATGCTTTCCGCAGTCCGTCACCGAAGACAATACACTGGCGATGCTGACATAGTCGTGCTGCTAGACTGGTACCGTCAATGACATCTACAAGACCATCTCCCAGACCGACGATGCCGAGAAGCAGGCCGAGGGCAAAAAGATTGTCGAGCAGCTCGGCGCCCTCAAGTACGAGGTTGAGCACAACCGACCCCTGACTCCAATCGTCGACGATGGTTTCACCGACGAAGTCGCCGAGTACAATAAGGAGGTGGCCGCCCTCGGCAATCCTCCGACCTGGCATGACGTCCCATGGCTCTTTTCGGAGTGCTACATGTATCGGTGCGTTTTGTCTCTTCTACTTTGACAGACTCTCATAACATGATGGAATCACTGACATGCCCTCCACAGACGCATTAGCACCTTTTTTTCCACCACCAAGCACTGGAAAGAGTACGACCTCTTTTACCGCCAGAAGATGGACACGTTTCGCACCTCGCGCAACGCCGTCCTCGAGCTCGCCGCCCGCTACAAGGAATTCGTCACGGAGCTCCAAAAGGACAAGCCCGCCACGCACAACCTCGACGCCGAAAAGACGCTCTTTACCGAAATGTTTGAGGTGTGCCTCTGGGGCAACGCCACCGACTTGTCCCTACTGACCAACATGACGTACGAGGACATTCAGAAGCTGCAGGGCAGCGAGGCGCGCAAGGCGGCCGAGAAGAACATCATCGCAAACGACCTCCCCCAAGTGTACGAGTCGCTGCGCCAGGCCCGCGCCGCGGGCAAGGAGGAGCGCCGCGTCGACTTTGTCCTCGACAATGCGGGCTTTGAGCTCTGGGTCGACCTCATCCTCGCTGGCTTCCTGCTCGCGTCGGGCCTGGCCACGCAGATTGTGCTGCGGCCCAAGTCGATTCCCTGGTTTGTGTCGGACGTGCTGCCGGCGGATTTCTCGGGGCTGCTGAATGCGATTCAGGACCCGCGCGCGTTCTTTGAGACGCCCTCGGAGGATGACAAGCTGCAGGGCAAGACGCCGGCCAAGCTGTCGGACAAGGAGGTGGCGGATCTCGAGTTTGTGTTTCAGCACTGGACAGAGGCGCACGCCGAGGGGCAGCTTGTGATGCGCCCGGATCGCTACTGGACTGCGGGGGGCAGTTTCTGGCGCTTGCCGCATCAGAGACCCGACTTACTCGAGGACCTGAAGGAGGCCGAGCTCGTCATCTTCAAGGGCGATCTCAACTACCGCAAGCTGACTGGTGATGTGAGTACAAGACAGGAAAAGTGAATGTGATGAAGCATGTTGCTAACTGCGGCAGGCTTGGTGGGATCCTACCACACCGTACACCGAGGCTCTCGGCCCCATGGGCCCAGCGTCGGGCGCCAACATTATGTCCCTGCGTACCGTCAAGGCCGATGTCGTGGTAGGTCTCCCCCCCGGCAAGGACGAGGAGCTCAAGGCTACGCCGAATGGTGGTGGCGATACGGGGGCTCGCAAATGGGGCTGGCACGGCAAGTGGGCTGTTGTGTCTTTTTCCAAAGGTCATTAAACAGTCATTATAGTGCAAAAGGGTATAACAGAAAAGCAAAGGAAAGAAACACAAGAAATGCGCGAGAAGGAGATATTATGAACTATACACAATGCCGGTTGGTAGAAGACCGGGCGTCTTTATTTATGCTAGATGATAGACTATAGAAAATCTACATGTTGACACGACTAGCGACTCTTGGACTCTTTTTGCGAATGCACACCACGGAAGAGTAGTCGCTCTGTTAATGATAAGAGGACGGTCCGTCTTCGTAGGCTGGTGGTGTAGAGGTCGGGTCCTGGCTGCTGCTGGAAGACACCGGCTTGCGGCTACTCGTCTTCATGGTTGTTGGCTGGGGGAATTCGCTCGGGGAAGTGGAAGAAGAGCTGGAGGAGGAGGGGTTGGAGGAGGAGGAGGTGGTGGTGGTGGTTATGATGCCAGGAGAGGAAGAAGAGAAGGAAGAAGAAGAAGAGAAGAGAAGAAGAAGAAGAGAAGGAAGAAGAAGAAGAGAAGGAAGAAGAAGAAGAGAAGGAGGGGATAGTGGATGAAGAGAAAGAGCTCGTGCCGATGGGGTCTACGCTTGAAGTGTAGGGCGGTGTGATGATGGTGGACGTTGGCGCGCCGGTCCTCGTCTTGCTGCTGGACGAGACGGGACTGGTAAACGAAACAGAGCGGCTGGACAAGACGGAACTGCTGCTGCTGCTGCTGTTTCTGGGTGCATCAGTTGGCAGCGGCGGCAAGTTTTCATCAGACGTTGTCGATGGCGTGCTTCCAGGCGGAACAGTAGTTGGATAGTACCCGGTGCCGGAGGTGACGGAGCCGGTGCCGGTGCCAGAAGTCACGGAGCCGGTAGGGTAGTATGCATATGTCGAGTTGGTGACGGGATAGCTGGCCGTGCGGGACAAAGGGCCCTTGGGGGTGCGCTGCGTGCATGTAGCCGACGTGTTGTTGTTGGTGGTGGTGATGGCGGACATGCTGCTGCTGCTGCTGCGCAGGCTGCTGGTGGTGGTGGTAGCGGTGCCCTCCGGGATGCTCAGGTAGGTTGTGCTGTTGGGATGCTTGACGCCGCCGCAGGCGTACGGCGATGTGCAGTGAGAGAGAGTGGTGGAGGGACCGCCGGTGGGGAGGACGCTGGAGCCGGAGCTGCTGGTGAGGGTGGCTGTGTAGAGGGAGGAAGAGTTTTGATAGATGGGAGAGGCGCTGCTGCTGCTGCTGCTGCTGCTGCTGGACGTGGCGGTTGTGGAAGTGAGGGTGCAGCCGCCGTAGTAGGTGGTGAAGCAGGAGGCGCCGCACGTGGCAATGGTCTCGGTGACGGTGACGGTGTTGAATGTGGCGAGGACGGTTGCGAGGCTGGTGAGAAGCAGTGTTAGTTAGAAAGGGGATCGGGAGGGACGAGAGGAGGGATTGAGGGTGAACGGACCTGAAGCCAAGGACGGCGAGGGTAGGAGTAAACTTCATTGTGGAAACGAGCGAGTGTGGTTTAATTGATTAAAGCGAGTGTGTAGATGAAGACTGCTGGTGGAAAGAATGAAGATGCGCATGTTGGTTGGGGTTATATATATATATATATATATCTATACAAGTACGGTGTATATAGAAGATCATGTTGTAAGTCGAGATCAGGACTCTGTCTCGCCTCCTGTGACACTCTCGCTACGCAGCCGTCACTCGTGTCCGCGCCACTCTGCATGATTGCTTCCTACACCGAGATACTCAAAAAGGGAAGTAAATTAGACTATTGGGAAGAGAAAAGAGTATGCTCCAATGAGTACTGCCCGGTGGAATCGTGGCGTTGCCCTCTTTGACGCAAATCCCTCGACAAGAAACCAATATCAGATGCAGGTGTCCGCGGCTTGTACGACGCCAGGTCCAGCTGTGGTCGTCCCGCGAGCAAACTTTGGGTTAGGTCTGTACATCCCAAAGCGGAAATGAACATGTTTCATGAAGGAAACGGCATGAATTGCAAGGGGGCAACGGGCTGGAAAATATACGAGTTAGGCGAAGGCCGAAGGGCAGCAGCAGTAGCAGTAGCAGCAGTAACGGTGAAACAGAAACAAATCAGGGAAAATTCTTTTTTTTTTCCAGCTGAATATGAAAATGAACAATTTTGTATTTAACAGTTGATGAGTAATTGAACGAGGCGAGGGAGATTTAAATAAATCTAGATGGACGCCTTGAGAGCCTTGAAGACGTCATCGCGTTCGCCGACGAAGCGACGCTCAGCCGTCTTCCAGTTGATGACTTTCCAAATATTTTCAACATAGGCAGCCTTGCCGTTGAGGTACTGCGATTCTGTCAGCTTTCTTTTTTATTTCTTCTTCCTTTTGAGACAAGTTGTTGTTTTGTTGCGCGCATACCTGCAGGTAGTAGGCGTGCTCCCACATGTCAATGCCAAACACTGGAATCTCAGGCCCGACAACCGGATCCTGATCCTTTGTCGTGATGATGCGCAGGCCGTGCTTGTCCTTGACGAGCCAGCCCCAGCCGCTGCCCTGCACGCCCAGCAGCGCGGCGGCAAAGGCCTTTTGAAACTCGGCGGGGGAGCCCCAGGTCTTGGTGATGGCGGCGAGGAGCTGGGGCGCAGTGGCGGCGGACAGCTGCGTCTCGGGCTGGGTGGCGGGAGCGAGGTTCTCCCAAAAGAGCGAGTGGTTGATGTGGCCGCCGCCGTTGAAGCGGACGGCCTGCTGGAGGGCGATTTGGGCGGTGATGTCGGCGCCGGCGTACGAGGCGAGCGCCGTGTTGAGGTTGGTGACGTAGGCCTGGTGGTGCTTGGTGTGGTGAAGCTCCATGATTTGCTTGGAGATGCTGGGCTCCAAAGCCTAGATGGATGGGGAGGAAGGGGGGTTTGAGTTCTTGTCAGCCTTGGGGATTTCTCGGGTTTAGATCTATTATAAAAGGGAGTTCATTTGACAACGTACATCGTAGGCGTAGGGCAAGGTAGGGAGCGAGTAGTTGTGAGCCATGGTGATCGGGTTGATGATGAAGCTTTCTTTCTTTTCTCACGACGAGCGATATAACAAGGGGGGATCAAGTTGAGATGGATGAGAGGAGAAGCTCGGCATAAAAGAACAAGACGGCTAAACAAGATTTAACCCCCCCCCCTCCCGCCATGTGCGGGGAAGATGATATAACTAATAAAGGCAGCTGCACGCCATCGCTCTGCCCGCTTCGCTCACTTACATGATCGGCTTGCTTGGGCTTTGGGCTTGGGCTGCCGTGCAAGTGTGGCAGCCCCCCCCTCCTCGGCGAATCGCCCAGTCGGCTTGTCTGTATCACGTCAGAAAGCGGTCCTCGAGTCAAAGAGGCAGCCTGGCTCTCAAGGTCAAAGGAAAAAAAAACAACAAAGATGAATAAGCTAATCTCGGGAGGGCATGGGCTTTATCTGCTGGTTAAATTCGGAGCATTTGCTCTCAAACTTGCTCATAAAGGTTCACCAGTGGGTCCCACAGGGTCAGCCGCTTTGTAACTCCTTATATGAAAGGCGTCCAGGGGAAGGGTCTTGTTAGAGTGATTTCTGAATGCAAATGATTCAGCCTGTTTCATTTACCGTGTCTTGAGGTGGTAGGAGCAAGTTTTACTTTTTGATGTTCTTTTCCCTTTGCTGCTGTGGGTGGTGGTGAATGTTGGTGACGCGTGTGGTGTATATAAAGCTGAGTGGCAGACGGATCTTTTTGCCCGAACTTTTTTATTATTATTCGACATTTACGCGATACGAAAAAAAAAAAAAAAGACGAGATTATCGAGTTTCATCATGTGCGGAGGCCCCGAAACTGTACATCGTCCTCGAGGCGGCGCCCTCGTCGCCCTCAACCCTCCCCGCGGCGCTTCCCCAACGGCCCTTCTCACCGGCGACCTCACCTTTCACACGCCCGGACAGCCCAACAGCACCGAGGCGACGCATGCGCGGCTAGCTTTTGACGAGGAGCAGCCAGAACGATTACTGCCGTCGGACCTTTGCGTCATTATCCAGTGGGTTTCCCTTTGATTACAAAAGCGCGGCGGTCAACTCGAACCCGGGGAGCTAACTTTTTATTCTTCCATGGCAGCACCGGAGGCGACTTGACAATGAATGCGAGCGACTGCGGCCTGTTTCGCCAGCTTCGACTCTCGGCGACGCGCAGCAGTACGGGTGGCGGCGCTCATCAAGACGCGTCTTTTTTCGAGTGGCCGCTGCCGCAGGCGCTGTCGCTGCAGGTCGGCAGCGAGGGCATCATTGGCCGCCGCGTGTCCGTCTACGCAGAGGATCGAGACGACGAGCGGCGCGAGCAGCGCACGGTGCTGGCAGAGGGCATTGTCGGGTTTAATAGCTGGGCGGCCGAGCGGGCGTCGTTGTGAGAGCCGGTGATGGGTCTGTCTTTTACTGTACTGTACGATATAGAGACGAGAGCGGATTTTTGCATACCAGCAGCCCTTTTGCATGACGAAACGATACAAAAGACTCAGAGAATATCAAGATTGGAATGGCAGCAAAATTAAAAAGTCGATGCGACATTTCATTACAATGTGCTTGATTGTCACATATCGAGTTTGTCTTGAAAGCTCGTCATGGCTATCTCAAGTCGACAACCTGCTAAACAGCCCCATGCCAAAAGGCGCCGGCGACGACGAGGACAAGGGCAAGGGACGAGGACGAGAACGAGGACGCGGGTGCCCTGGGGCTTGTTACACTTGGACATTTTTTGAAGCCAACGAGTGTGTATTGGTTCCACTATGAGTTTGTTGGAACCGCGAGTTGGACTTGAGCGGCGCCGCCTATAGCACTAGGCGGGCTGCCGGGGCCCACCCGTCGCCGGCGTCGCCTGCAAAAGCCCAAGATGCGCAAAGCAAGCCGGGACTGATTCGGGGATGCGAATAGGAGTGGGTGGGGGGGTCACAGATATGGTTATAACAAACATGGGCGAAATCCCGTCATTTTCTGGCTAGTGGATGATTCCAAGAGGCACGCTTGGCGATTATTTTTTTTTTTTTTTAAAAAAAGAAAAAGGTATAGTAGTAGTAGTAGTAGTTTATACATGAAATAAATTGCACTAATTCTAATCTCGCGTTATACGTGGAGGATCGAATGGGGTCATGCTACTCTGAATAAGCTGAACCTCTACCGGACAAGGGTGTTTGGAGTGTGTATGATTGCGCCGGGCCGCCCTCAACTTCAACGTCAATCTGCAGGTCGTGAGGGCTGCCTGCCGGTCTGCGCCTTGCAGCAGCAGTATCCGTAGTGTCAGTTGAGCTTGCGTCGCTCAAATCTGAATGGTCCTCGCCTGACCCCTCCTCGCTATCGCTCCGCTGCGGTGACCCAGTGCCCCTTGCTGCCGTGGCGGGTACGTCTTGGGCAGTAGTACTATTCTTGGGCATCACATCCACGTCGCTTGCCGAGTTATTACGGCCCGAAAGATCCTCACGCGTCATAGTGGCCAGCGATGGTTTTTGCGAATCGGCCCAAGTAGCTGTGCAAGATGTTGCCGAGGCCGCTTGTCGCGAGCATCTTTTGTGTGCTCTCTTCTCTCCTGACTGTGTAGGCCCTTGAGCCTTTCGTTGCTTGGTCTTGTCTTCCAACGCCCTGCCACCAGTGGGTGAATTGATGGCAGATCTGGTCTTTGATCTTGAACCGTCCTCTGGCTGGAGGCCGCCTCTAATCGTCTTCATTGGGTTGGCCAGAAAGCTTCCCCATTTAGAGCTAGACCCTCTCGCTCGCTCGCTGTGCTTACCTCGCCTTACAGAGCGCGCTGTCTCTTCACCTGGTTTCCCATCGGACCGATGGAGGCAGAGGCTTGACTCGGACTTTCTACCTTGTTGTTTTGACGTCGACAGTGCTGCTTGCGGCTGGAAAGCTTGGAGTCTCTTTGCGGCATCTTGGTGATACGTGATGAGAACAGGCTTCACCAACGGGGACAGCCCCCCATCCTTTGCAGCCGCTTTGTAAACACCTGGGAATAAGCATAGAAAGATGCCGCCGACGGACTGGCTCTGGTTCACGACTCTCCAACCTTCAATGTCCTTGAGTGTCGACTCATGTAGTTGGGTTTGAGGAGAGAGGCAGTCGCGAGGATCGCAAATGGAGTATTCGAGCGTGGAGCAAGTCATCTCTTGTTTAAGGGTTGCAGCCGCCAAAATAATGTCGTCTCGGAGCTTCGGGGTGTTGTTCCTGAATGTACTTTCGTCCATGGACAGTGGAGGTCTGCGTAGTGTATCCCACAGTGAATTCAACATCTTTGTCAATTGCATTTTGCATGCAGACCTGAAACATTCTGTCGTCGCGAGACTAGAAAAGGCGCTTGATCTCCATTTACTCGCTCGAAGAACTGATTCTGTTGCTCCGATTAATCAGTTGGGTCAGCCTGCTTTGTGAATGGGTTGGTTCTCTTTGCGACTGACCTTCACTGGGTCTTCCGTCCGCGCCGAGCCTGATTGCGTCGGTGATATAATCCAGCCCTTTGGCAGCGTCGTCGTTTGTTCCAGGAGGGTATGTCTTGATGAAGACTTCAGCGTACAAGGATTGCCATATGACGCGTGACAAGACAATCTTGATACATGTGTCGAGCTGGCCTAGCCAGTACAGCTTTTCAATCTCCTCACCAGGGTCATGGGGGCGTTCCAGCAATCCCCAACAATACAGCAACCTCCGCCCAGGGTCATCATCAAGTAATTGGTGGAATGCCTGGCGAAACTCCCGCCCCTGCTGGAGAAATTCCACCTCGATGGCCGTGGTCCAGTCCTCGATATTGGCGCACATCTCTTCGAATCTTCTCTTCAAATCGCCATCTGCAATCTGGTCGTCTTCACTCTGGAGTGAAATGATCTTGGCTACAGAGAGACCCACCTCCTGCTGAAGCGCATAATTGGCGGACTCGAGCCTAGAGATTTCATTCTTGGCCTCCTCCGGCCAGTCATCGGGATGAGACATCATGTCCAGAAAGCTACCATGTAGCCTTCCTGGTCGACTTTGACTTTTGACAGAGGATACTATCTGTCTGAGCAGACTCGCTCAGTGCAAAGATATATTTTTATGCCCTGGGAGTGAACAAAGTCAGGCGGCAGAAGTGCGTGATGGGTTACCAACCTCGATGCAAAGGCCCACAACGTTTCTGCACAAGCTCGCAGAGGGTAGCAGCGCAGAGAAGTATTGGGCAACATCTTCAACAATGGGAAAGGCTGCATGTAATGGTAAGCTGAAGGATAATTTGTTGACGCCCGACTGACGTGGTCGCGTGGGTCCAATTGCGTCGTGGCTGTCGCAAGGCGGCCTGCCTGCCCTATCTTGTGTACCTATAACAACCTCTTGCGCAAGTTCGCCGAAATGGTTCGCATTTTTTTAATTTGGCTGTCTTCCGTTCCCGTGTGGCGCCCAGTTGCGCGGGAAATATGTCTTGTCTGTCGAGTTCAGCCTGCTCCGGTTCCCTTGGCTTGCTGTTTTGACAGAAACATCAACGACTTGGTCGGTTCATGTCAATCTTGTCATTCAAGTCCATCAGTATGCCACAGAGCTCAGGTACGGTCAGCGCTGCTGCGGGTCGCGGCAAAGTTCTTGTAGCCGTTGATTTTGGTATGTCTTCAGCTTTGTTTCCAGGCCCGTCGCCACATTGCACTAGATGTAACCATAGCAATAATCTGGCGCCGCAGGAACGACATTCACTTCGGTAGCCTATGCCCATACTGCCGAGGTAAGAAACCGCACTTCTCATATCTCAACAGCGTCTGCTTACACCGTTTTCGATTCATAGGCTGCTGGACCACATCTGTTGATGAGCTGGGGTGAAGGAGGAGATAATACCGAGGGCCAAGTGCCAACGTAAGTCGTCGACCCTGCGTAACCACGGCCATTGTGACGACTAACATGCTTCGCTCGCATCACTGATCAGCGTACTTCGCTACGACAATGGCGAAATGAGTGGCCCATATGTTTGGGGATACCGCGCCCAGAGATGGGCCCAACAGAGTGAACGGATCCATGAGTGGTTCAAGCTAGGTCTTTGCGACGACTTTGAAGAACGACGAGCCCGGGAGTCGGAGCTCGCAAAGCTGTACGACAGCAAGACGGCCAAGCCGCCCGTAAAAGGAGAAGACTGCGAGAAGCTTGTCAGGGACTATTTGGTCGGTATCAAGCAAGCCGTGGATAAGAAGCTTGGCGCCGATGAGCAGGTTGCAGCCATGGAGAGGCTGTACATCATCACTGTTCCGGCTCTGTGGGACTATTCCGAGCAAGAAAAGACCCGAACCTGCGCCGAGAGGGCTGATATGGGCAAGGGTAGTGAGATCACGCTGATCCCCGAGTCCGAAGCGGCCGGGATATGGGCCATTAAGAACATGCCCAGCATAGAAGAAGGCGATGCATTTGTTGTATGCGATGCTGGGGGCGGGTAAGTACAACATACTTTGAAAATGGATGCCATTCGGCGTCTTGGAGAAGAAAGAAGGCAATGGCTGACCCGACATGCTTGGCTCACCAATAGAACTGTTGACCTCACCTCCTTCCGGGTCAAGTCCCTGTCGAAAAATCGGCGTCAGTGCGAACTGGTCGGGGCAGGAGCGGGCTCGGGTGGGCTTTGCGGCAGCATCTTTCTCAATCGCATCTTTGAGAAATACCTTGAGGAGAAACTCCAAGACTACCCCAGCTGGGACCCAGACTTCATGATTGACGCTTTAGGGGCTTTCGAGACGAGAATCAAGCCCAACTTCTCCGGTCGGAATAGAGATGCGCATTTTATTCGGATACAGGGTCTCAAGCCAAGCCCGCGGCATGGGATTAAGAAGAATTTCCTTGAGCTGACAGACGATGAACTACGTGTCAATGTATTTGACATTGTCATCAACAAGATCCGAGTACTAGTCCGTGATCAAATTAAACACACGGAAGGCAGTGTGAAGGAGGTTGTGCTTGCTGGAGGATTCGGCCGGAACCCATATCTGAAGAGGAGGCTGCAAAATCTGGACTGCGTGGTCCGTCAAGGTATCAAGGTATCCGAGTTTGAGGACAGGTAAGTTGGGGTCTCTACGTTATCGCGCAGTGCTGGCCTGACCATGATGCAAAACAAAACAGCGCAACAGCCATTGTAAAGGGCGCGGTTACTGCTAGCCTGTACGGTCTGGAGAGGGCCACTGTCGCTTTCGATGGAGCTTTCAATTTCATGTCGACCCGTAGAGTGGGAGTCGTCTCCAGGAAGGCTGGCCGCCACTACGGCACTTGGGGCTATGATGACTACAAGGACGGTGACCCCATAGAGAAGAAGTATGGCGCGCTCGATGATGGATTGGCAGTCTCCCGCAAAGCTAACATGATGCGTAGAGAGAGGCGAGACGACGGAGTCAAAGTCGCGCGGATGCATTGGTTTGCCAAGATGGTGCGTAAATTTCCGTCTCGATTAACTTGTCAAGGCTCCAGAATACTTAATAGTTGAAAACAGAATGATGATATTCCCAATGGCGAGCCACAATACTACCCTTACGAAAAGATTGCCAAGGTCATCCCTGGCAAAAAAGCGCATGAAGTGTGTTTAATCGATATCCCAATCTTTGTCTGCGAGAAGCGCAATCCACCCGAGTATAGAAATGACCCCAGTATGTCCGTCCCCACGCACTTAGTGACTTGCATAGACTCTATGCCCTTGACTCCGACGTGTACTGACATGAATTTGCCGCCCTGTAACGTGCAGACGCATGGAAGATTACGGATTTCAGTCTTGACCTCCAGGGTCTGACGATCCCGACCATCCCCCATAATGGAGGCAGGACCAGGTTTTATAAGGCTAATTTCGAGATTGAGATGATTCTGGAGGCCACCAGCCTGACCTTTTGCGGAGTGTATGGCAGAAATACGCCGGATGAAAGGAGATGCCCAGCGAAGAAGGTCAGCTTCAAGTGAAGGTTGGGCCAGTCACCAGGTAGACTGGCTTGAGATGGGTTCCGTGACGAGTACCCTCAAATGTATAAAATTACTTGGTTTTCTTTCTGCAACGAATGCAGTCAAAAAATTGTAGTTGTCTATTCGGTTAATGCTCGCACAAGTATTGAATGCCAATATTTTACTCGTTGGTGTGGCAATTAGTCCGCACTGCACAGCAGCACACTCGGACTACTTCGCGACCGACATTCATCAATTTCCTGACTTGCAAGTCTTTTTCTGAATTGCACTTCCCATGTAAAGACACTTCTTGTTCCATCATCTCGGATTGTCGTGTCCTTGTCGATACATCAAACCATCTCTGCGACTGCCACCTTCATCGTGTGATTGTGCGATGTGCACTTGCTCCACCGCCCGTTCGACGCGGCAAGTTAAACGCTCCGCTCTGATGAGATGGGAGGTTAAAGGAGCTGTCGTTGGGTGGCGGCGGTTGCGGAGGTGCAGGTGCAGGCGAAGGCGAAGGCGGAGCTGGAACTGGAACTGGAGCTGGAGCTGGAGCTGGAGCTGGAGCCGGAGCTGGAGCTGGCGTTGGGACCTTGGTGATATAGATGGATGTTGATGAGTTGTCGTCAGTAGAGATGGTGGTGGTGTCTGGCGGTGGGATGTTACGCCTGATGCAGCAAATACAGATGCCGAGGAGGACACCGATTGCTAGATGGAGAATGACAATGATGGCGATGACATCGTTGGCATGGACCATGGGGAGCGGTGGTGGCTGCTGTGGATGACAGCCACGCGGTGTCGTTGGACAAAAAGCGCCGGGTGCCCTCAACTCTCCCCCTAACTGCCTCTCTGAACAGCAGATTACTGATATATAGTACCAATGGCGCGCAGCTTCCACCCACTGGTATCTCGACTCTGGCGAGGACGTGTGCCCTTTTTGGAGACACCTGAGTGACAGATGTGAGCTACGTCATGGGATAGTTGGGCGATGATTTGGCATTCGATCCGCGTTGTAAGTGTAAGAGGGCTGGTTGCAGGAGCTGGCGTGAGTCTGGAAGAATGCTAGTGTAGGCAGCACAAGGACGACGGATGATGGCAAAGAAAAGGCTGTTGACTTGACCACATGTCATCCGGGGGGGGGGGACCCTTGGTGCTTTCAAGCCGCACTTCTATTGGCTACCGAATCATAACAGAAGCCAGCAGCAATAGCACGAGTGTGGAAGTAGGCTGGGGCGCAGCTGAATGGCAGTGCAGCAACATGATGATGCAGTTATCGCTGCCGACCCGTTGCCAGGCGTCGCTGGATCCCGCGGTGCATTGAAAGGCTTCGATCCTGGCTCCCGAAGCCTTGTCCCGAGCACGTTACCATTGCGCCGAAAAGTGGCCCGCCATGGGAGGCTTGATCATCATCACATTTGTTATTATAAAAGACAGTTACTACAGCAGCCGGGGCTGAATCCATCCCCACAGCGGCCCGCGCCGACGTCGCGTTGTGGAAGTGGATCAATCTTACGAATGGTGGTGATTTACGCAGGTGTGTGGAGAACCAAAAGGATACAATAGATATAAGAATCTGTTCATTGCTTTTCTACGAACGAAACATTCTAGTTATTACACTCAATCCTGGCACAGGCACCGTCGGAATTAACTCAACGCATATACAACAAGGCGCACATATATAGAGCAGCTTCTAGTCCCCTAGCATAACCTAGCTTATATCTAATAATTATTTATAGGCTCTTTAATATTAACCAAGATTATAAGTAATCTAGTTTATTATTTATATAATTAACTTAAATAGTAACGAAATTTAGATGTCTATTAATTCTTTATAAAAAACCTTTTTAATATGAATAATATTAAAATATATAACTAGTTATATTATATATTTCTAACTAAAATATATAATTTAAGTTAAATTACTTATATAAATATTTAATTTGATAAACCTTTAGTTTTATATAAGTAATTAAATTTAAAACTTTATTAGATATTTTTAATAATATTTTAATATTAAAATCTTAGATATAATATATAATTAAATATTTTTTAAAAAATTAAAGAAGTTTTAAATTTTAAAAAACCATATAAATAAATATCTTTATTATTTATCTTTTAAACTTAACATAGTTAATAAGCGAGTAGCATAGTGTTACGAACGCTCCTACGTAAGGCGTAGACATATACTATAGCAGGGTCAGCCACAGGTAAGACGCAGAAGAAAGG